CCGTCTCTAAACAGCTTACCTGAGTACCTATGAGGAGCAGATAGTCTGCCCTGGGCTCGGATATGGCCGCTAAATGAGAATATCTGTGTTTAGCAACGCTGTACGGTCGTTGAATGCCTTTCGGAGGTACATTTCGTGTCGATATGCATCCTCCATCTGTCCCTTCAACGTCTCGCGACTGATCGCTCTGAACTCGGAGTGAACGCTCGTCTTAATAGTCGTCACTTGCCCCGAAGTCGACTGGTCCGGAGCCACGTTGTCCAGGGCTTGCTGTATCTTGTCCAGGTCGCCTTTGTTGACGAAGAAAACGCAACGCTTATCACCCAAGCTTTCACGCTTCAAGTCTTCAATCGCCTTGGGGCCTGGTACCTCAGGAATGAGGCGACCCAACTCCAGCAGCAATTTGGCCTCCTGGGACGGGGAAAAATCAGGCTCATCGGACTCGAAGACCTCATGGATGATGCCCAGTCTCTGATACACAGTGATACCACTGTACATGACGAATCGGTGGAAGCCATCATTGTCTGTGGACTTAGCAACAGCACCTAGCATGTCTTCCTGCAATGCGGCGATCAAAGGGCACTCGATACCCGACGCTGTCACGAGGTTGGAAATGTCCCACGCGCAGGCGAAAGGGTAACGGCAAGCGATGGCAAACTGCAGTGCCAGTCGAAAGAATGCACCATTCGGACGGCAGGCGAACAAGGGGTGTACAATAATATCGGCCAGTTGGTGGACAAACTCCAGAGGCCACAGAGCCTCATGGGTTATCTCTCCCATCTCGACCTGATCATTCACGTTTTTGCACGAGAATCCATGGTGAGCCGAGAGAAGCCAGTAAGGGGTTTCTTGATAAACCAAGATGGCAATGTTCCAAAGATTGAGTGTTGACTCAGTCATCATGTCTCCCATGTCGTCCATCGACCTTGTCAGCGCAATCATTGCGGATACAATTTCACGATCGCTGTCGTATTGAGCCTGCTTCTCTCTGGTCAGTTCTGCAGGAAACCACGGGCGAGTAATTTGAGCCAGCTGATAAGACCCAACCGGAGGCTTCGCTGAGAGTATGTCGACTGCAATCTTGAAATTTGTCCTGTATCCTGGAAACTGGGGCTCTTCTCTCGCTGTGTCGGTGATGCTCTGGTTCTGAAGCTTGTCTTCGAGAGCAGAGATAGAGAACTGTGGGTTCATCTGCCGCGAGGTATCTTGTCTGGTAAGCCGGAATGCGTTTCGAGAGCTTACATCGGAAGGAATCAATTCAAGGCCTTCGTTACTGCTGTTGTTTCTGCAATGATCCGAGTCTTGCTGCATCATTGCATGTTGGTCACGGAGCGCATTTCGAGAGTGTCCGTCGGAAGACATCGACCCAAAGGCTCTGTTATTACCGTGATGTCTGGAACGGTCTGAGCCTTCCTGGATCATTCCTTGCTGGTCACGGGGTGTGAGGCCCCAACGAGCCAGCAAAGCTCGAACCCGTGCCATCACTTGACCTTCGGATTCTTTCATCATTCGCTTGTGAAGATCCATCTGGGCGCGTCGAGCTTGCATCATGGTTCTGTCCTCGGACTCTTGTATCATTCTCTTGAAAATGCCTGTCTGGTTTTCTCCAACTTGTGGCATCATCCTGTCTTTGGAATGTTGCATCGTTCCCTCAAAGATATCCATCTGATTCCCCTGGACTCGTGCCATGGTTCTGTCCTCGGACTCTTGTATCATTTCCTTGAAAATGCCCGTCAGGCTTTCGATGAGCTCTGGTATGATTCTTTGTTTCAAAAATAAAAGCATGCTCTCTTCGCTTTCTCCAATTAGTTTCATGATTCTTTCTTCGACCATCTTCTTGGTTCTTTCCTCGGATTCTTCGACCATCTTCTCCATAAGGTCCATCTGCATTTCCATTTCGAAGCCACTATCCAAACTGGGTGGACCGTCTTGGCTATCTGATTGAGCCCCAGATGCGACACGTTGTCGATAATTTATCTTCCTAATTCGTCGTCCTGGATCTGATACCGGCAAGAAGTTCGAAGCAGCTTGGTCATCACGTTGCCGGGCAGGAGCTTCAGAACGAGCCTGCATGTCGTGGTGGTGCTGTCTGCCGCTGCCACGGCGAGCTGTGGTCCGACCTCTGGACGACCCACGCTGGCCGCGAGAGGCCCCTCGCCTGTGAGACTGGCCTCGACCCTGTTCCTGGTGGTAAGGGCCATCGCTTCGGTGCAGGTCCTCGACTTCTTCCTGGTTCTGGAGTATACCAGCCAGCCGATCTCGAGGATTGCCCCCAGACATACCTCTCGATTTCTGCCCTCAGTAGCGATTAGCGATTAAATGTACCTTACAAGCAAATCACGAAGACCGAAAGGTTTCTCCAGAAGGCGAATTGTCCTTACTGGTGGTGTTGTTGGGAAAATAATAAAGGGTTGGAGCCAGACGAGGGAAAACCGTACTGATCCGAGGAGCGACAGGAAAACAAACTGAGCAGAAAGTGAGAGAGCAAGTTTTGGAGGGAGCTAGCGCCGCACGACAACGTGGGAGGTGCTGACCGACAAGACTTTCTTGCTACTGATCAGTCTGCTTCGACCTCCTTGGTCCATACTCCCACGCAATAGACAAGCGTTGCCTCTATCTCTGGGGTAGATGGACCAAAACCAATCGGTGTTGTTCTGCACGATATTCTTTTATTTGTTCTAATATGTATTATGCAGGACGGTGGCCCCTTTCGAGCCCATTCGGCTTTTTGTTTTCAGCAGAGCCTCCCCCCCCGAGCGGAATCACCCAGCAATGAAAGACCAACAATTGTTTCTTTAGACGTGTTTGTGTTGGGCTGGGTTGTTTTCCATTCTCAACCCACCTATAAAGCAAACCTCAGCCCCCCTCTTGAATATTTATTTGAAACAGTTCCATGAGGAAATTGACACGTTGTTTGAGGAGCTTCTCATGCTGAGAAAGGCGCAAATATGCTTAGCGATGTTCCAGTTCCAGAAAACAAAAACAAACTCGACACGAATGGCCAAACAAAGACTTAAAGTCGAAATTGGACTGAGAATTGATGCGACGCCTATGACTTTGGTGGTGTTTACACGGTGGATGTATCCGATACCGTTGCCAGCAATACCTCAAGAACCTCAAAAGTTGATGCCGACCCAATGGCTGACCTTGCCGTGTACTTCCTCGATGGTTCATCATGGTGTCGATGATACTCTTGTGGTCGGTGTATAGTTTGATGGCGTGTGGTGTCCCCGTGGTGACCTACGCCGTTTCTTTGAGTGCTCAGACGACCACCAGGATTCTTTCTCTAGCATACAGTATCTTGACTCGCCATTATTCAGCGAGTACGACATCCACATGATAATCTTGACCCTTTCGAAGTTCTTATCATCAATGTTCGTCCATGCGGGTAGGTCGTACAGTTGCATAAGAACGGCTCTTGTCCCAGTTTCGGACGTGCCTGTTGCAATATGATATTGTATCCGATCCTAGGCGCAGTCTGAGAATATTCTTCGGTGTTTCGTATCAGAAGGAAAGTTTCGAGAAGAGACAGACCAAGCCCTTATGATGAGGTTCATATCGGCCGGTTGTTCAAGCTGAGCTCGTAGAGGCTTGCGCTTGAGGGACGCACTATTGAAACTTGAGGCTTGCTAGCAAACCAAAAGTTTCAACTGCGAGCAAGTCAAGGTATCGAGAGCCACGCGCCGCAACACAACGTTGAAAAGGCTGGGTGGTAAGCGAATTTAAGGGGTCAAAGTGCGGCAAAGCACTTATCCTCTGATACCTTAACGGCTTCAAGTATGGCCCGTCAGTCTGGCGCTTGCCAGCATTTACGGGTGAGCATGCTGTTCTTTCATTGACGCGTGCGGCTTGTCCGTCGAGTTGAAGAAGGAGCCCCGTCACACTCTTTGCTTATTTAACAATGTTTATATAACATGGCCGTTGCGCTATGGAAGCTACCACCCTCCCTTGACCTCGGCCATCGCTAAGATTCTCTAACTGGCAATTCCAAAGAAATTATCTCCACTACAAAGGAATCATCCAACTCCACTACAAAGGAATCATCTAACTCCACTACAAAGGAATCATCTCCACTGCAAAGGAATCATCTCCACTGCAAAGGAATCATCTCTACTACAAAGGAATCATCCCTATTGCACTACCTATTAAACTGCCTCCAAGTACCTGGGTAGGTAATTAGGCCCTGATTTGATGATGATGTTTTGAATATGGGCCACTTTACTTCATTCTTGACCTGAAGAGAGATATGTTTAGAGCGTTGGTTTTTAAGTAGATATTACTTGCAGAATATTCTTCCGCTCCTCTCCATGAGCTAAACTTATTACTGTCTATGAAGATTTAGGCGCGAATTTTCATGTATTGAGCTTTCGACATGATCAATGGGGTTGCTATAGTAGCTTTCGATTGTTTCGTTACAGCTGCTTGAACTGTATTTTTATCTTGGTGACTTACGCACATTTACCTTCTCTCGTAACCCAATCAGTTGATTCCGCCTTGGTGACTTCTATCCCCTCCTTTACTAACTCACATGTGGGAAGGACTAATTCTTAGCAAAGAGAAAGCAGCTCTGATCTGTTCACATTACACCTTCCGCGCAAGTAGACAAAGGAACGTATCTATTTAGGTAGGTAACCAGGGAAAACAAACAATTTACATTTTCGTGGGTTAATACCACTGCCCTCGTTAAAAAACCCAGTAGGAAAAAGAGTGACAGCCGACCGCTCGATCTGGTCGCACGCAAAACAAAGGTATACCTATGAAATACTACATATTCCCAGTCACTTCACATAATATCCTCCCATACCATGCACTACCACAAGGCACTACTACCTACTTGCACAAGTCGGCAAATGAAGGGATTCCGGCATAGATCATTCTGGCCACTGGGAACGTCCTTGGCCTCTAGATTCATTTGGGCAAGGATATGAATGGTGGACATTCCTTGGACAACCCTTCGGGAATGTGCTCAATCCCTACTACTACCCCGTGGGCTACCCCTCTCACGAGGTTTGCTCACCTACGGAGCTCAAGATCCTGGAATAGAGCATCTTGGCCATTGGGAAACGTCGGGACTCCTCATCCTCATTCTCTAGGTTCCTTCGAGCAAGGTTGTAGATAGAAGACGCGGCAAACATGAAGAAGTTATCAGGCTTCTCCAGGCTGGTCCCAGGCCTTGCGTGTTTCCTTCCCATGAAGTAGATCTTGTTGATCAACCTCGGGAGGTCCGCCTTACTGTAACCGGCCGGGAGTGACGATGCAATAACATCGGCCAGCTCACTGTCCATTGATGCCTTCAGACGCCCGGCGATGACCAGGGACTCTTCGCAATGGCGGATCGCCTTGGGCATAGAAATGAAATTCTGGTTCATAACCGTTATGACCCGGTGTGCGATCAGCTCTCCGGTATATGCAAATTCGTTCCATATATCCAATTGGGACATAGAGAACCCTATAGGGGGGTAGAGGTTATATCTCCAGAGAAATCTCCAGGTTTCCCATTCGATCATAGCACCATTAGAAACAGTGATAATCCACTTCAATATACACTTCCACAGATTCCTGACGAACTCTTTTTGGGACAGGGAGAAGACGTCATCTGCAGGGCCTTCGACCTCGATGGCTAGCGTCAAGGTGTGGCCGCCTATGCCTCGTCGAACAATCTTGATCAATAGACCCTCTACTTCCATCGCCTCTATACTTTGGCAATCTGGGAGAAGCATCTCTGTGACTGTCTCATGGGGAAGTCTAATTTCCCATGGGGACGCTATTATTCCCAACAGTTTCCAGTTCTCAAACCACGGTGTTCTCGTCCAGAGGTCGACGAGGGCGGCGTGGACTTTCACAGGGTTGTCTCCATAGCGCTGCTTAGGCTGAGGGCTGACAGTTGGCTGATCATTTCCGTGCCCGTCCTTCTCTGTGTCCCCGGATCTCAACGCATTCTGGGTCGATACCGTGCTCTCGAAAGACGCAGGTATGTCTCTCTCCCCTTGAGGGCAGCTTTGCGGAGCCTGTTGGTTCAGAGCGTGCTCTTCGCGCTTGACCGGATCCTCGCCAAAAGCCTGAAACTTAGGCTCCCATTCCTTCAGCAGCTGGTCTCGGTACTCATACAAGTCCCGTCCCAACGCCGAGTCCAGTTCCTCGTTGGTCACCTCGTTGTCCTTCAAGTCCTTACTTGGATCATTATCCAAAGAGTGGAATCCCCTGAAGTCCTTGTACATCTGCGATGGAGCCGATGACCTATCATGGGTGATCAGCTCCCATGGGAATTTTGGGCACACCTTTATAGGCGGATAAGCGTCAACTAGCGTGAGATGTTAGTTTGTTTTCGGTAGAGTGAGGTTTATGGGTAATACTTACAAATGGCGCTCCATGTATACATGTCGATCATGCAACTCAACCAGTCTTCTGCTACCCACCGGAAGCGGCGCCTGATGAGGCTTCGAAGATATATGATTGCCATGTGTATCCGATACTCCCTTATCTGGTCGTTGGTGATCGGTATCATATGGCGGATAAACGTGTCCATGTACCTGCGTCGCGCGAGCACGTCGGTCACGTCAGGTAACTCCCTTTGAAATACATAGTTGGGTCCCCGAAGGGACTCTACCGTCATATATGGTACGCGTGGCTTTTTCTGTACGCTCATTGTTGCTCGATCTAGCATATATCGCTATTTTCGTGAGTGTATGCGCGTGGGTTGATTTGTGTGAAGAAGGAAGTTGAAGAGGGAGTAGGAGTGGGAGTGGAAAAGTGAGCGAAAAGTGAGGAGGGCTTTGAATGCCTCGATTTTGGCTTCAATGCCGCGTTAATTACATATCTACCTATCTACGATTGAAAGTGCCCCCTAGTTACAACGTGAACACGTACTTGGCCAGAATGAAACCCGCTCCTTTTACTTGACCAGCGCACCTATGACCCGGTCGGCGGTCGTTTTAGGCTAACCTATCCTCGCCCAAGATGTAGAGGATGAGTCGATCCAGTTGGGCGGACAAGGCCAAGTCTTGCTTCCTCGTCTGATGAATCGGAGAGACGGCGCGATGTCTGGCAGAGAGTTGCTGGTTTCGGATACAGCGATCGGTGCAAAATCAGAGGTATCTGCCGACACGCCACTCGAAGCATGGGACATTGCCGGTAGCGACGGTGTGTCTCTGGGCTGGGATGGCACATTGTTACACGCCCGATTGTCCAGATCAGAAGCCGTGCTTATATGCGGTGCCAATGACGGGTCTCCAGTTCCAACATCCAGAGGCATCTCGTTGGTGCTAGCCTGACGCTTGAGAAGCTGCCGGGTTTTCTGGTGCTTGTATGATTCCGTGATATCGTTGATGATGGTCGAAACAGAGGGGCGACCTGTATGGCTGCCCCCGGGGTGTATCCGTTGCCAAAGAATTCTACCTTGCACCAGCCAATGCAGGCATGACAACACCCGCTACAGATACGCATTCATCTGAACTCACCTATTTGTAAATTGAGAGAATAGTCAGGATCAACATATGTGTACAACAGAACATAACTCATTACAGATGGATGAATTCTACTTGATGGGTACCTTATATACAACAGGCCTCCCTACCCTCCAACAAATTGCCATACCATGCAGATACTTCGTCACCAGTTACCATTAATTTAGGTCAATGTATTCATTGTCATTGTGATTGATGCAATCGTCCCCCCTTCCTGAGCTCCAAGTAGGAAGATCGGAGGGTTCGGATCATCGTCACCTAGTTACTTCCAAGGCATCGGGGATAGCTACATCACCAAACACGCCGTAATCCTGGGGAGCTGACGTGTTTTGTCATCACTAGCGGAGCGTTCACTTATACTCAGGGGGCGTTCTCTTTGCTTTGGGTGCGTTCCCTTGTGCTCGAGGTGCGTTTGCGGACTCATTTGTGTCGATCTCCTTACCGGAGTTGCCCCTATACTCTGGAGGTGGTGGTATAATAGAACTAGGCCCAACCCATTCCTCGCATTCCCAGGGCGGGACGAGGCTCTTTGGGTCGTTCTTGTTCCTACGCTCATGTACAGCTTGGAAACTAACCCTAATCTTTGCACCACCACACAATGACTGTAGATAGCGTGCGATGGCGTCCCAATCCAAGCTCTCGCTGGTGACTAGATTTACAGAGGGCTGGCCGGTCTCCGGATCCCGCTGGACTGCTGAGACAACACTTTGAGGAGGGGGCTCTAGGCTTGATGCCCTGTCGACGTACCGCTCCTCATATATGAAAGTTCTGGGCACCTGCGTGGCCCTGAGAGAGGGTCGGGTACCAACACTGGATCTGGTGTTGGTTACACCTACAGGACGAGTAGGTGGATTCAGTGACTCTGAGTTCCCTGAATTGCTGGGAACTGGCGATCTTGATCGACGCCGGCTGGGCTCGTGGCGGTTTGGCGACTGGGTTCTATCTCGCGGGCGAGATTGGCTACTGTCAGACTGGTGATTGTCAGACCGGCGACTGCTAGACTGGCGACGGTTCGACCGGCTATTGTCAGATCCATGACTGTCAGATTCATGACTGTCAGGCCGGCGACTGTCAGACTCGAGGCTGCTAGACTCGCGACTGTCAGACCGGCGACTATCATACCTACATCTTCCATCGCACCGATATGGCGCGCAAGAGCACGGCGGTGGTGGTGGGGGAGGCGGGGGAGGCATCGCGTACGGGCCGGGATAATAACCCTGTTGGCCCCATGGCGGTTGCGGGGTGTAACCCCATCCATACCATCCGTATGGATACTGGTTGGTCCAAGCTGCCATCCGATGGTCCTGGTCTACGTCGCTTTGACGTTCCCTGGAGTGTGACCGACCGCGATTCCTGGATCGAGAGCGATCTCTTCGGGGAGATCGTGAGCGCCTGTCACGTCTCCTCCGGCTGCGGCTACCACGGCGATTTTGGTCGCTTCCTTGGCTTCGATTGCCATGGCTATTGCCATTACCCTGGCTTTGATAGCCATTACCATTTCCATTACCATTGCCACTTGGCTGAGTACTGTTATTTCCTGCCATCACGGATGATGTTGCTGGTGCTGGTGCTGGTTGGTGCTGGTGTTGTTATTTGTGATGATGCAACTTCTGAAAAGGAACAATTTCGCGTGCCTCAAAACACGGGGAAACGCGTGGGCTGGCTTGGTGGGGCCACTGTCCGTTTGGTGGGGCTGTTGGTCAGTTTGGAAGCGATCAAGTGGGTGACATAAGGAAGACACCTAATGGAAGAGTTGGCTATCAATCGACTACTTTCTGCAGGAAATCGAGAATTTCAGAAGTATGAAACAGAAGAAAGGAAAAACAAATACAGTATTGTATATTATTAGGACTCAATAATCTGATAATACCGGTCGTCGACTGAGGAATAAGCAGCTTATTGTTTGAGTGTCTCCATTTCAATGTCACCCACTTGGCGATTAACCCTAAGGCAGGAGCGATTAATTAGGAGCGATTAACTAGGAGTGATTAACTAGGAGCGATTAACTAGGTAGTGGGAGTGATTAACTAGTAGGAGTGATTAACTAGATAGTGGGTAAGAGTAATGAATTACTTTGGTAGGGCTGCTTAGGTTGGAGGTGATTCCTTTGTTTAGCGGGGATGATTCCTTTGCTTAGTGGGGATGATTCCTTTGCTTAGTGGGGATGATTCCTTTGCTTAGTGGGGATGATTCCTTTGCTTAGTAGTGATGATTCCTTTGGTGTAGGCCATTCCCTCGTGTGGTGTAGGCCATTCCCTCGTTTGGTGCAGGCCATTCCCTCGTTTGGTGCAGGCCATTCCCTCGTTTGGTGTAGGCCATTCCCTGGTGGGGCCATTCTATCTACTTAGGTTAGAGGCCATTAGTTACCTACTTAGGTTAGAGGCCATTAGCATTAGTTAGGCTATTACAGAACATCGCGCGCTTCTTGACGCTCCAGCGGAAGGTTATCCAGGCTACCTTCTGTAGCGTGTCGGATGCTCTCGATGCTATCGCCAGAGCATGGTTCCCCAACTGGGATATAGGATTACAAGTCTATCAAAATTTAGTTGAGATAATTATTTTCAGTAAATATCGATGTAGTAGCTAATGGGAGCAAAATGAATGAAATTGAAGGAAGAGAGCTTTTTGATTCTAGATTGGAAGTGAGGGCCCCCTTAGAACTGAGTGATCGTGGATGAAATTGGTGTAGTGATTACATGTCGACTGGCGTGATGAGTCCTCCCGACAATTGTACATGGATTCATTCATTCTATTTGCGCTGCCAGTCGACCACGACATAGTTGGAGAATACCGTCTCCAAGGGATGAGAACCGTGGTCGAGCACTTTACCAGGCACAGGTACCAATGGTTACATTCCAGCATGTTCAGCATCAAGGTTGACCAGGTAATGTGGACCGACATCTGTAAGTTTCCCCTAATTCGCGCCGAGAAACAATCTCGTTCGTGTACTGACAAAGAATCTACAGTCAGCGCATATATGCCAGTAGATCAGCCGAAGCCCAAGTTCCCTTGGGAGGTGCCCGAGCTCTCTTCCCTAAGACGTGTACCCTCCTTCATCTATAAAGCATGGAGGACTGGGATGGGTCTTACCTGCGGTTATCCATCACTCAAGGATGAGACATCAACAGAACTCGAGCTGTCAAACGTCTCAAGCATGTCAACCAAAGAGCGGGTACGCAGTTTCTTGAAATATGAGCGGCTGGAGCAGTGGTGTACAACCCGGGGGGTTATGCCCGTCAAGCAGACACAACCTGTGCAAAGCGAAGAAGACGCACAATGGCCTCCCAAGCTAGGCCACTGGCCATCGTCCCAAGCAGGAGATCCAGTGCAGGAAGCCGTGGCAAGATCGCCAGCGCCACCGAATGAAACCCCTCTCTTGAGCGGCCTCATGAGGCCCAATAATTTGGAGGAGTCAGTGACCCTGAAATGTGAGGCCGACACACTGGTTGCCGTGTTAAGGCATATTGCCCACGTCCGGGCCAAGCAGAGCGGCCCTATAGCCGAGATATTTAGCACACTTACGAGGATGCTAGAGAGAAACCCCATTCTAAGGTACATGCAAGGGGAACGATCAGTAACACCGCCAATAGAAGAAGTTGAGCGGAATCTGCGTTTGAAACCTGGACATTCCCACAAGACGGTTCTGGACCTTTTACGGTGCGAGACCATGATGTCAACAATTTGGACACTCCCAGACTTTCATCTACTAGCCGGCCCGGTCTCCATGCGCGCACGACGCGAAGGGGGGTTCCGTGTAGAAGAGGGACAGGAATCGTCGCTCTCATCCACCAATCGCGCCTTTCTCGAATGGGACGGGTCTGGGTCGTTGGAGGCGATCATTGACGCCTTGCCAACACCTGCCATCGACACACATGGGAGATGCACGCCGTATCTGTCAGCCCGCCCTGACATCCTACATGTGAGTGTTGGAAGCGTCAAGGATGATATGAGACCTCCCAGAGAACTTTATGTGTGGACCGGCGCCGCCACAACATTGGGAGTTTATTACCCCCAATACTACACACAACATTACCTGCTTGCTGGCGTGGTTTCCATCAGCTCCGATGGTAGGCACACAAGCTCGTTCTGTGACCCAATTGGACACGGGAGGGACATGGGCTGGGCCCGAGGGCAGACAGACCCATCGACCATCATTATAAGCAAGGAAACTTCAGGGTTGTTGATGTACGCCGCGTCAGCAGAGTGGATTACAAAAGACTTTCTGATCCAGAGAGATCAGCCATTGCCACCAGAACCGCTAGAGCTTTATGCCATGCTCGATGAATTCGAGCCGTTTGACAATGGAACAGCCATGCTCGATGAATTCGATCCATTCCTCGACGAAACACCCGCCGCCACGCAACCAAGTAATCATGCTACACAACACCAGGCTAGCAGTGCACCTGTCCATACGGACGGGGAGCAGGTTGACAGGCTGAACAACAAACGAAAGGCACCACACGACGAGGACAACCAGAGCCCTCGAGTGCCTTCTATCCCGCGTGCCTGAACCTAAAGCCCATAGACTAAGGCCTTGTAATCTAGGGGGGCCTATGCAAGTCGAAGGAGCTTCCACGGCGAGGCAAAGCCTGGGTAAAACACACATGTACAGGACAGGAAAAGCAAATGTATACTAGAATGGTTTAAAGGCGGTCCTCGATAGCCAAATTGATTTGTTCCGGTGTCGCAGGCGAGAATTGAATGTACTGTCTCTCTGCTTCTTTCATCAAATATTCAAACTTGCTTCAACCTATTTCTAACTTTGCCCTGTGTGTGCAACTATCCTCTATCGCCCAATGTGCGTAGTAAGTGCCCTCTGCGAAACCGGCAGCGGGCGATATGATGTTGTAATTGGGATCGTAGCTCCTTCTCACTGCATTGTTGGATTTAATAGTGTTCCAGGGGGGAAACCTCAGTTTTAATCTTGAGATGCAGGCTTTCAACAAAGACATGGTGTCCACCGACAAACACGGACTCTTCGCAATGTTGTATCGCCTTGGGCATAGAAGCTTTCTCCTCGACCATTACCCTTTGACGTGCTCTTTGATCACTTCTCCAGTGTGCTGCAGTTCGCCTCATTTATCATATTCAGTCAGCGAGCATCCCATCGGGGGTAGAAGTTCTATGTCCACAAGTTTCCCATTTGACCCAGGACCTTTAGAAATAGCGATGAAGTAGTTTGATATGCACTTACGCAGGTTCCTAAAGAACTTCTTTCAAGGCATAAATAATACGTTGCTTACATGTCACGTGTGGTTTATCTTTATATTCGGCTGTCTTCCCTGTTATTTGAACGGCTCTATTAAAAAGAGTTCCATATCTTGAGTTATTCCCATACTTACATTAATTCCGCGATTCTAGACTGCTTCCCGTAATCTTTCTCCATTTTCCCGGTATTTAATAAGCGTAGCGCGTTTCTGAGAAGGCAGAAAATCAAGTGAATTGAACAAAAAGGCAGGTTGGGACAGGTGAAGGAAGAGTGAGGTGGTTCTGATGGCCAGCCCTCTCTGCCTGAGGTGTCAGGCTAAAGAATGCCGCATCCTGCATTATCGATTGCTGGAAGCAGTCGCGTTCTGATATGACGCGTCAAATTTGAAAACACATCTCACTTTTGATCTGGAATTTGCATTTCCCTCTCAATCACCAACCAACCAACCAACCAACCACAACACACATCAAGCTTCATTCTTACCATAAGAATATTCACAATGTCAGGAATAAATCCATTAAAAAGACCATACGACAATGATGCCGAAGAACTGTCAAAAATGCTCAAAAGGGTCAAGGAAATGGAAAGGGAGGCTGCCCAGTTACTCGAAGATGCCCAGTTACAGGGAGATGAGAACCGAGGCCGTAGCCAGCCACGATCCAGTGGAGGCCATGGAGACCGTGAAGGATCCCGAGGTGGAATATGCCACCTCAATGGAAATGTACAAGACGATACTCAGTCTTTAGTACCCATGCCAACGCCCGATGGGACGCTTGGTTCTGGAATGTCAAGAGTGATTTCGCTCTCCTCACTGCCTAGTGGCAGATCCTTAGATAGAGCTACCACAGGAAACTTGGGCAATGGATACATTGACCTTAGCACACCTGGCAGCAATGATCGTGTTGCTAGTTTCACAGGCAACGGTTTCGTTCCCTATAGTGCAACCCAGGGCCAATTCGGAAGTTTGAATCAAACTACTACTGAAATGGACGAGTATATCGACAAAAAAACTTCATTCGAAGCTCGAACGGACTGGATCCGAAAACAAAGGCCACAGTTTGCCGAGATTTTGACACCATGTAGATGCGTGCTGCTTTTCATCCAACACGTCCTACATATTCGATATTACCAACTGGGTCCAGACCATGAGCGAATTTCCCTCTATGACGGATCGAGTGATGGATTTTTGCGAGCTTTTTGGTCCAAAAGGAGATTGCCAGATGAGGAGATCGCAGCGGCCCTTTTTGGGGACAACACAGCTGGCTTAAGCTTTACAGATATGATGGCTCACCACACTTTGAGCAAAGTGCTTTGGTCATTATACGAATTCCAGTCCTACCTATATGCACCGGTGCAAGGTGACCAAGCAGGAGAATCGGGAAATGAGACGGGTGACAGGAATGCCCCCTTCCTCACGTGGGATCCCAGCGTGGAACCCAACCTTGAATCTTGGATCAATAGGCATTCAAGCACAAATACTAGCACACCAGGCACAAAGTCGGTTAGGATATTCAACAAGCCTTGCATGTTGATGGTGTGGGTTGATACAGTGGCCAACGCTGTCACCAATATACCGAACACGCTCGACTTGCATGTTGGTGCATTCACCTGTGGGTCACTGGAATACTATAGTCATTGCTATGAGCAGCTTTATATGCTGATGGCTATGGTCACTATTGATAAGAATGGACGTCATCATATACATGTTTGCGAACCTGGGCAGACCTGGACATTGCATGGCACTCACGATGTGAATACCATTGAATCAATCTTGCCAGGCGAATCCTGCTTCTTGTTGTATGCCGAATTTGAGGAAGACATGATCGATGATATTCAGGAACGAAACCAGAAGAAGTCATTCAGTGACTCTGAGTTGGCTATCCAGGCGAGTTTCGAGAGGATGGCCAGTGTCTATTCACAAGTGAGTGAGGTTGTAGCTCCACCAACTATTCCACAACCACAACCGCCGATGTTTCAACGGCACAAAGAGCACTAGGTCAAGATTCAGGCCGGGGTCAGCGAGAGCGCAGTCGCAGTCGCGGGCGTGCCCATGGACATGACCATGGACATGACCATAGACATGACAGTGGACATGACTGGGGGCCAGAAAGGGCCAGAAGACAATGATTCAACCAACCAGACAGCACCTCACCAGTCTCAACCACTTTGTACACCACAGCGCTAGGCCATTCTGCTGCCAAGTCACAGTCCAAGGCCCAAAAACCTGCAAAAATTCAGAGATACCAAGTTTGAGACAGGCTCATTCTGTGAAGCTCATCGTCTTCTTGTTTTGATCAGGGAGGAGATTACATACTACAGTTAATATAGTGAAATGTGGTAGAAGCAGCGAGGATCAGGACTTAGTAAAGTTGAATCTCTATCACAAAATCCGATGAGAGTCAATAATACGGAAGAGAAATAGAATAAAGTTCAACAGCAATGAAAGCTGCCAGGGTCCGACAACCCACCTAATGAATACATTGAGAACCAATAATATAATTTTATGTAAGGATGCATACCGCCACTGGTGGGCGAGAAAAGCAAGATTTAGCGGAAAGACGAGGAGTCAAATGACGTTTTAAAAATGCCAAAACTTGGATCAATGAACAAGCCCGGTCTCTAGCTTCAATAGAGTCTCATAGGTAGTAGATAGGGAGCAAACATCATTGATGTTGGCTGTGTATTGAATCCCAGAGGCGGCCAAATTGGCCGCAACAAAAAGAAAAAAAGGCGTCTTAAAAATTGATTATTCTAGTTCATTGAAAATGAAATAATTTATTGAGGAGAACTAAAATGATTCATGCATCAAATCATTCTTGTTTGGCGCAGGTACAGTGTAAACAATTGATATATACCTACGTATCTTTTCTCCTCTGACGCGTCTTCGCAGGCACAACACTTTTACATCTACACCACACACACCCGCCAAAAATCACCCGTAAAAAGTGCACACATTCCGAACGAGCACACCATGACAACAGAAAATATCAAAGAGCTGTGTCGATACATCACATCTCCACGAGAGAACGTGACCACGCTTCACTTGCAAATCCCACGAGGATGCCCGGCATACGTCGCGGCACCCTCAGAAACGGCCCTTGTGCTACAGAAAGAATCGCCGAAGGCGCATCTGACTCTAGCCGCCAGTGAATCGACACTGGAAAGGATGAAGATAGCGAGCTCAGAGATCGAGTCCCATCTATGCACATATACCAAACTAGATGAACTGCTTGACACGGATAACAGACTTTTCTGTTTTGTCGAGATTGACGAAACATGGAGTATCGATTTTCTACTTTGTATGCTGCATCTGGGGCATAAAGCTTACCAGCTGTCCAACAAACCCTTGAATGATACAAGGGCAAAATCAGGTGTGCTTCACATCATCACATTTTCCCATGGTCCGTTTCCATTGCGCCTGCGCAACCTATGGATCAATAAAGAGAGATCTAGGCAATGGTGCCGATTTGACTCGAACACAATTACGTTCGAATGGCCACGCCATGGTACCATCTGGGACGAGCCCCCGGCCAAACTCAGCAATGCTTCAGGTGGGACAATTCAATTTACCAACTGTACTGTGGGCGATAGCGTGAAAACATCGCCTTTCGACATGTTCGAATGGCTGGGCGATAGCGTGAAAACATCGCTTTTCTACATGTCCGAAAGGATAGACGAAAATTGTCGAAAATTTATCATGACCGTGTTCGACAACTCGATACAAGATGAGGACTTGATAGCTTGGATATGTGGGATATTTCCTACTCAACGCAACCATATCCTGCATGCTACGTCTCAGCAGGAATTAAGTCACAACTTGCAAGTTCTAAACATGGCTGCCATGGCCGACACAGGAACAGAGCATATCTATGTGTGCATCGTGCGCATTGATAGCTGTTCCATTCCATCGGTGTCTCTTGAGGGCTGGGATGTCATCGTTCTCATGGGCCGCCCCGGCAAGGGATATTATTTTGATGAAAATCTGAGGAAGTTTCTCAGATGTGATCAGATTGAACTATCTATGGCGGAAACCCTTGATCAGTGTTCATGGGCACGCCTTGCCGATTCAGCTCTCTTGATCGAAGCACCCCAGATCCCAATACAGAGAACAGGGCGGGTATCTTACGACACAAGAGGGGTTACCTCACCACAGGATTTGTTGAATGCGGTGTCATCCCTCTCTGCTAGATACGAAGTTGACGTATACCACGTTGCAAAAACGCTCTATTCTCGGGCGACTAGAAGAGCTTGTCTACGCCATTTAGAGATGATGGGGATGATTCGAGATGATGGCGGGCGAATCGTCTTCCCAGATACCTCACACCCAACAGAGATGGGTTTGATCCTCCCCTTAATTCATTATGATCATCAGGTAGCCCATATCTGTTCCAGAGCATCGGGCAATGCACAAGTCGATGGGGCCATGTCCCTTCTAGCTGCGATTAAGCTGGCCACAAAGGGAGAATTTTTATTCGGCCCTGATTCCTTCGGACCTGAAGTCGATATCTTAGACCTAATCGATGTGGTTCAGGACAGCCCGTTTATTCGATTGGCTGATTGCAGTTTTACGTGGCTCGCAATTTCGCTGTGGCTTCGTGGAACAATACACAATCTGGAAGGCATTAACTGGCTCATCCAAAAGGAGGGACAACTTACCTGTATAATCCCACTTCAAACACCTCACCCTGATGGAAGCATCCGCTTCATTCAGGCCAACGCCATACCCATGTTTGATCACGTCCAGGAACATCTCAAGACTGTGCGAGCATGCGTGCTGAAAGTGACGCAAATATTGCCATTGGACGCCTTCGGCATCAATTTTCCATTATTGGACGATTCAATGGTTAACCAAATCTATTTCAGAATGCTGGATACCTTCTGCCCGCATCTAGTCATCGCAAGGCGGAACGGCATAGCCGTCGATTTTACGTTTGTGCATGGCAATCAACAGGTCAAACCAAAGTATGCCCTCCTGGAAACGATAGCTCGGAGAGCTTTGTCAAAGGAACAAAATTTGTTTGAGGGCTCTGCTGTGGGAGTATCTATAGGACTACCTGAATGCTGTCAGGGGGAATGTCTTCTGACGAGCTGGGAATGGATACCTTGGCCAGTGTACACTTTGTGGGCTCGGGATAGACCAAATTTCATTCAGGAGCTACTACATATGTAGATCAAAAATGTAACCCACATGTAACTTTCTTGGCCATCATATCCCGCCCATTACCGATATCTATTCATGCCTGAAATTAAGGAAGCTCGTGGGCGCAAGCGGTCGCTTCAATGGCATCCAGTCTCGCAACTTTATCATGGTTGAGGCGAACGAGATTCCGCTAATACATATATATGCCGACATCAATGATCGATGATTAAATTACCACTTCATGCTTTATTTGTGTGTTTCTCTTGGGGAGCAACAGCAGCAGGAGAGCACTAAGATATTCTAGAGAAGAGCAGATTGGCTAACTATCTAATGTTTCCCTTTCCCTTCTTGGGGAACGAAATCAGTTCCACCAAATAGATATGTAATAAACTTAAGTAGACTACTGATGACAGTTGACAGATACATTATGTTCCTCACAAGTACTTTCAAACTATGTTGAAACGTGGAGAGTGTGCACTCAATACCCATTCTCTCAAAGTTACACAAATAAGAAAGAGAGAACTGAGTCAACTCTCAGGTTTTAGCAGTGTTCCATTGTAGGATCTAAGCTAATTTTGACGAGAGCAGCGCTACAGCTGGAGTTCTCCTACCAAGGCGGAATCATTTAAAGGGGGGGTTACTTCTTAATAGTAGAGCATAAACTGGGGTCGGATCCGACCCAAACCGAAACACCATCGTGGCAGCCACAGAAATGGCTCTTGAAGAATCCAAGTTGCCAACCAAAGAATCTTGGTTCTTCACCGGGCCAGCAGTCAAGGGTCTGAAGCCGCATCGGTATAGTATCGTGCTGCTCCACGGCAGTGAGAATCAGGAAGAAGAAGAGAAACATCTCAGCAAGTTGGCCGTCAGAAGCAGGTATGAGGAGTCTGTAAAGTTCCACATTATGCGGGAGAGGATAGCTACACTGGAATGGAGAACGGTAATTGTGGAAGAGAAACCAACAGTCAGAGGAAGACATCCAGGAGTTCGGGGGAAACTCTCTGACGCGGTATTCTGAAATGCTCGGCGCCTTGATATCTCTCCAAAACGTGGATGCTAGTAGAATATTAGCTTGGAGGCGATGTCGCATCTAATATTTGATCATTATCTGCGAGACCTTACACAAGGCTAACTCCATCCCATAGCAAGAAGGGATTCGGCTCGAGGATGGTAGTTAGAAAGCACGGAAAATGAAGCCCAAAGGTATATAGTAAGTTTCAAACAAAATACAGGCTGGTGACCCTGTCTCGAGAGTATGAGGTTTGACATCTATAGTATTCATGCAAATATGGCTTGCCTACATTTTAACCCCCTTCTTAACAAACTCTTCCCAATTAAATTAAATCATGTGCGCCTCTGGTAGATATAAGACTGGATCCACCTCTTTTCTATGACGGTGATATCAAAAGACTATATGTCCGTGTGATGCATGCATAAATGGTACCAACGTATCAATCGCAAAATATGCTTATAACGAACGCCCCGACAAGGGGGAAATCAACTGTTTCACTTTTTCTCTCGTTGGGGCTCGGCGAAGCGGATCCTAGCCGGTGTGGCCCGTCCCCTCTCTTCCTCGTCGCTTTCTTCGTCGGCCATTCCAAGCGCGGCCTCTCGCCGTCTGCGTTCTGCAGGCGTTTCGTAGTCGTCGCCATCGTCGTCGTCGTCGCCCTGTGTGGCTAATACGGCCAATCTTCGTTTTCGCTCGGCGGCACTTTCACCCTGCTCCTCAGATGGTTGCGTCTTGTGAGGTGATGTTTTAGGCGGTGAAGCTGGGGCCTTGGCATCCGTGCTGGGCTTGGAAACCTTAGCTGCAGCCTTTGGCTGCTCGGGTACCCCTTCCTTGGCAATGCTCTTAACCTCTTGGGAGGCCGAAGAGTTGTTCACCACTTCTCGGCGAGTGTTGGCATCAAGGTTCTGGACCTCACGGATGAAGTCCTCCTTGGTCATGCGCTTGCCGACACCTCCAATGGTGAAGCGGATCTTGCGGTCATCATCAGCATCATCGTCCTGGCTCTCCTGGGAAGCAACATTCTTGCGGCGGCCAGCACCACCAAGGATGCTCGTCCAGCCACTGCCTCCAGCGGCCTGAGCGTTGGCTCCAGCCTGGGCAGCTTGTGCGGAAGATTCACCCTCCGCCTTGGCAAGACCGCCCAAGCCCATATACTTGAGACTGGTGTTGAAGACATCCACCTGGCCCTCTGGCTTCTGTGAGGGAATCTCGTACGTCTTGACGACTTCACCATCCTCATCCTCGACAATAATCTAAACATTTCACCTATATTAGAACCCATCAAATCTCTGTCGTGGCTATTCGTTCAACTTACGGTATTGCCAAATTGGTAGGCTCTTGCTGGCTCGTGCTTTCGAGATTTGCCCTTTTCTTTTCGCTTTTCCTTCTCTGTCGAGTACATATCACTGACCCTCTGTCTCATACCACCCAAAGACCATGGCTTGTTGGGGGATCGCAAAGCCGCAGTAACGGGAGATGGCAAGTCTGATTCATCCTCCCGTGGACTTGGCTTAACAGCCAGCACCTCTCCATCCTGATTTTCAAACACCAGATCGCTGCCCTCTTCGTACACTTGGATACGGGGTGTGGTGACGGCTGGTTCTGGGGACTTGATGCTCTCTTCAGAGCCTTCAGCCTTGATCTCATCGATGCTATCGCTAGCGGGCGAGCTGTCAACAGTGTCCTTGGGCTCTTGGTCTTTCTGGCCTTCAGACCCAGTTGTGGTGGTTTCTCGGCTTGGGAAGATGGCTGATTGGCTGATGGGACCACCTGCGCCGTCGTCTTTCTTCGACTTGCGCCGCCTGGAGACTAGCGAAGAAGCTCGGCTTCCTTGACGACTATGGTCCTCTCTGCGGCGTCGGAGGAAGCCCTCGGGTGGTGCGAGATTGTCACCAGTAGGATCCGCGTCTTTTTCGTCAAATGAAGCCTCAGACATCTTACCCTGAGATCGCGACATTGAGGAAATTCGGGGGAGTCTGTTCATCCACGTAGGTCCGTCCTCGGGAGCTGCGGTGTAGGACATGGTTAGGGTGAGCGTGTTGATTCTCTTGCCCAGTGTAAACACGGCAATAGAGGAGCCGTGGACGAGGATAGAGGATATAACCATGAAAGTTGTTATGGGCCACACGAGGTAGATCAAGTCGAAGTCTGGTGCATCAGGATTCGGAAGAATTGACAGCGGTACCGGCTCTCCAGTCTCTAGCTCTGCTCGTGCGAGAATAGCAATGAAGATGGCACCGACACCAATAGGCCCAAAGTGACCAGCGAAAAGAGCCTCACGCCAAGTTCTGATATCGGGGATGAGCGGTTTCAAGGCTAACATGATGGGGATGCGTCGGAAGAAGATGACGAAAACGGATATTACGACCAGACGCCAAACAGTAAGGCCCATAACACCGCTATTGTACTGCTCCCAGGGAATAATAGTTCCGAGATAGACAAAGTAGGTCAAGTTAATCAACAAATCGATGACGTTGGAAACATGGGACTCTTCGGTCTTCTCTCCGAACCATCCATCGTTGGAGAAGCCAACTCCAGCTGCAAAGCCAACGAGCAAGTCGTCCACGCCCAGGATACTACCAGAGCCGGCACAGAAGAGAGCAACAACGAAATAAAAAACGAGAAAACTCTCTCGATCAATCAAGTCGTGCTTCTCTGCGTACTTGATGCCATGGCGGGCGATATAGCCAATGAGGAAACCATATACAGCTCCAAACACACATTCGTACAGGATGGTGTAACAGACAAAGTGGAGAGTGACCTCGCCAGCATCACGATGGTAGTGGATTAGATAAATAGACAGGTAGACGAAGGGGAATGCCATGCCGTCATTGCATCCAGATTCAGCAGAGAGCAAATCTCGGAGATGCTTTGGCACCCGCTTGGCGAATTTACCCTTTCCGACGACGGAAGAAGCAAGAACGGGATCCGTGGCCGTGACACACGCGGCTACCACCAAACTATCCAACCAGTTAAAGGCGGGGATCATCCACCAGATGAACAGGCTCACGATAAGCCAGCCGAAGGTCATGACGGGGATAAGGAGGTAGATGACGGATCGCCAGTGACGCTCCATGTAGAACTTGGGCAATTCTACACCGACGGCAAAGCACTGGACGACCAGGACGATACGGGAAAACTCGATGGTGACGATGTCGGTGGACCCCCAGTTATTGGGGTTGATGAGGTTGGCGGCATGAGGACCGAAGATGACTCCGCACAAGGTGGCGACAGTGGCCTCACCAATGTACATGCGCTCCTTGATGAAGGAGGAACAGAGCATGAACAGAGTGGTAAAGCCGCCGAGGATGATGTACACCAAGTGCGGGTCCGTGATGCTGAGGTGACTCCAAGCCATGTCGGGGAGTGAATGGGTAAGACACTCTAAGATGGGGAGTCACACAGCGCCTCGAACGCGAACAGCCCGGGCCTGAGCTAGGGATGTTAATTGAACAATACCAACCTGGAGACGGGATCGATAGGAGAACCAGTCCACGCTGAGCGCAAGTGATATACGCCTCTCGCTACCGTCTCTGCACCTGCTGCAATACCAATTGGGCCCAATTGGGAAAAGAGCGTGGGAAGGGGAAAAAGGTAGCGATCCGGGTATTCACGGGAGGCTCAAGGACCGCGAGTCAGCTCAGCGACGTGCGCAGCGGACAGGCTTTCGACAGACGACGACCGGAGTGTCTTCTTCATTCCCGTAGACGTGAGGATTGACTCAGCACGAAGGGGAACAAAGGGAGAGGTTGCTGGAGATCATGCAAGGAAGGGAATGGAAGGGTCGGGACGAAGGAGAAAAACAAAGAGCTTGACGAATCTGCCCCCACACGATGATGAAACACGGGACCGAAAACAAGCTAAAGCTCAACGTCAGGGTGCCTTATCTCGCTCCAGACGATACCTAATAAGAAAATAAGGTAAGTAGGCTCTGTTGGATTGCTCCTCGTCACCGTGCATGGGCTACGAGTGGGGGAATACGCTCAAGGACTAGCAACGGAGCCAAAATTGAACCGCCGCGCGTTGCGACACCGGGGCAGCGTCACAGTCGAGCGAGTAGACGGCAGGCGCGCGTGCGTAAGGAAGCACCAGACAGACATTTCGTCAATGAGGCGCTGTTGAGATGCCTCAAAAAATCCACAGCGAGGGCAGGGGCGAGGCAGGGATACTGCAGGGGACCCCACGGCTCATCGCGCCCGCTGATTCGCCCATCCAGCACGCTACGTGCCGAATGTACCGATGTGGGGGCCCTTGGCTCGCTGCTTTTGCGCTGCTCAACGCCACACAACGGGTATTCGGATCCAGCCTCTACTTGCGTAGCCTTGGTGTCGTATTGAGTCGATGGACATAGGCCGATCGCCTGTGGCCTACACGGTTTATATGCAGAGTTTACTGCTTTCATCCAGATTGGCCTTCCGAATACCGTCCTCGGCGCAGACGGTGAGGGGACAGGCGAGCCTCAGACACACGTGGGCAGCAAACATGTTCCTGCCTGTCGCATTGCCTTGTCTCGTCTCGTCTCGCCCTGTGCATGCGAGTCTCGCGTCGCCCAGAGTCAGCGTCACCCAGAGACGATGGAACCCTCCGTCTGCCCCCTCTGGAGTTTCAACCAGACCGGCCCAGACGTAAGGGATCGTTATGCTTAAAGTTTTGGTTTTTATGCTTAATCTGAACCGCCCTGTCAGCTGTTCGGTCTATTTAAGTCTGCATGTGTTGGCCTCTCCGTGACCTCCCAATATCAGTCTGTGACAACAGGAAACCGCAGGCGGCCTCCCAGCTGACCGGGGTGGCGGTCGGTTTGGGCGAAGAGGCTAAAAGCAGCCGGTCCAGAATCTCTTCTTCCAGCGCCAGCCATGGGGCCCCAGCTGATCAAATCGCTGCATCCAGCGTCGAGACTCGACTCTCCGCCGCCATAGTGGCTCCTCAATGATTGCATTGCAGTGAGATTACCGTCCCCACCTCAGCTCACTACTTTACCCGCATCAAATCGGTTCCTCGGCTCGCTGCCAAGTCTTGACCTCGACTCCCTGTCTTCATCTCGATCGAGGCGAGGATGATGATGCAGGTTGGATTCTCCATATCGGAAAGCCTCATATTTACGCACATCGACACGGCTTACTGCCATGCGATTTCTCGTACCGATCGTTCGGTCATGTCTGGCTTCAGCCCTATGAAGAATCTTCCGCCAAGCCCAACCCGCCAAGAACCGCATCTGCCAAGTCCTGCCAGCCAAGAAGGCCCTGCATTGATCGGAGATGTTGTCTTGGCTGTTTCACTCCCATCTAGTGGTACAAGTGAACACGCGAAACTGGAACATGCACATAATGTTACTATCCCACGGATGAGAATTGGAAGAGGAACCACATTGAACCCGAATCATAATTCAAATCACTAGGTAGCCAGACCAGACTACAGACTCAATACAACCCACCGCCACACAGTAACATTACCTCTTAAGACCTTCACGGCCATCCGTAGACTACACCTGTCCAGTATCAACTGTGGCTGAGGTCTGGGCCATAACTAGGAGAGGTGTTTGTGCTGGGAACAGGAGCGCTCTCATATCCCATGTGGGCCATTGAGGTTGGTCGAGAAAGGCCTGAGATGGCGGCTGGAAGTGTGTGTTATGAATGGATAAATGGTTTCAAATTTGATGCATTGCTAAGGCGTGACATGAAAGCTCCCTGTTATTGGGCGCGAGTGAGTTCACGAACCGCGAGGACAGTAGACCGATCACCTTAGCACGTCCAAGGGAATTACATTATTGACTCTAACTTGACTTTGTGATAGAGAGTCGACTTTATCAACTCTTGGCCCTCATTGCTTCCATTGCATCTCACTATAGCTGTAAGGCGGGATGCCCCTCCCCGATCAAAACAAGGAGACGGCGAGCTTCAGAGAACGAGGCAGTCTCAAACTTGCTGGTAGCGATAGAGTAGATAGCAAGCATGATAGCCTGCAGAAAACGACTCCAAATGTTGTAAAGGGGTTTTTCTGCGAGTACCTCCGAGCTCACTGCTTGAAGCAATCCTTCATTGTCCTCAGAACTCTCGTGTTCGTTTATGATCCTCGACATCTTCTCGGAAAATTCTTTTTCAAATCGACAGTCAGATTCTCCAGGCGACATGCAGAGCACCCTTCCTTCAAACCATGCCCATATCTGCTCTTCTGAAGCTCCATACATCATAAGAGAGCACAGGTTCCTCGACCATAGGAAACACCATTTCGTGAATCCAATTCCGGTGCGCTGACATACGCAGGTCATCCATCTGACGATGCACTTCCAAGTATCCCTCAGGATATCCATCTGGTCCTCGGAGAGCTCGCCTGTGAATTGCTGAGATAGGTTGATTCCGAGGCGGAGATGGTCATCTGTATCACCGCGACGCTCAATTTGCAACAGACCTGAGAGCCTGGTCGTGATAATGCGACGTGGTGGCAAAAATCGATGTGTGATCTTGGGGTTTGGCAGTCTGATTTCGAATGCTGCGGTTACCAATCGCGACTTGATCCAGTATTTGGATTTTGATAGAGCGTCCCAGCAGTTCACGAGACTCTGATGTATCGGCGGATTTTCGTTGGAGTTTGGCAACTGGACACCGCACCCACTTTCTCCTGGAGGAATAAGTTCAAGGTGACTTGTATCGGCCATTGTTCATCTTTTTATGTTGGGTTTTCTTTAATTCGAAATTTAGTAAACAGAAAATATGCTGGCTTTTGTTTTGGCTGTATGTTGTTTATGCAATGGTTGCAAAGTGTGGCGATGATGGGAGGAAAGGGAATTTAGCGAGAAGTGATGGGGTATGTTTTTACCTTCTGGAGTCTCCCTCTCTTGTTATCAAGCAAACAAGATTGGTGTTTGCTGAGAGTCAGATAGTATTTCTTAATCGCTGTGATGGGTTAGCAGAACGCTAAGAGTTATAATACGTTTGCTGCATATCTTACCTCAAATTCAGCTTTAAAATGCTAAATGATTTCGAACATCAGTTAACCGCAGAATATCTCAGCACATGTACGACTTACGAGGAATTTGTCGATTGCGTCCTGCCAGCGGAGCGTTAGATATGTACTAAATAGTAAACTGAAAAAACGCACCTCCTTTCGCTTCTTGGTCGACTTCAAGTATCTGGCATTAGCAGGCGTATCAATCAAACAACCGACTGGGTGGACTCTTTACTTCCTCGACCGCTATGATTTTCTCCAGCTGGGCTTTCGTTTTCGTTGAGTGTTGATGAGGTGTTGTGGTTCCAATGGCTGGCAATGATATGAGGAGATGGAACAAGCGAGAAGTGATGGGCTTTTTTCTTTGAAAATTCCCTCTTCATTTATCATAAAACCAAAATTGGTGTGCGTGTCTGATACAGAGAAAGTTGGTTAGTAGTTGCCTGAGGCAGAGGAACGCGGCGGAGGACAAGTGACGAGCAGCTGAGGACTGCCAAGTGGGAGCGCACCTGCACAAGTTAAGCTCTTCCACACATACACCTTGCCAATTTTTTCTCTCCCCATCTTCCCATCCTGGTCCGCTCTGGATGACACTTGTGTTCTCGTCCACAGGTATGTTGCTTCCCTACTCATGGGCGCCATCGTGACCAACCCGGTGTAAAATTCCATGCGCTACTTCTGGCGTACGCCCCAGGAAAGGCATGAGGGTTGTTCTTCGTCGGTGGGCCATGAGAGTAGCTTCTATCCGGCCTGCCCAATACGATGAGAACTGGTTCTTTTGTCTCTCCCACCCCTTTTATCCTTCTTTGTTCCTCTCTCGAGTCAAGGCTGTTCCAAGAAGCAAAGCCTGGGTGGGTGGGATCTTGCTCAACACAAGGGCTTTCACTACTTTCATCTTTTTTCATCTAAAAAATCTGGAAAGAACTTCTATGATAATCTTTAGCTACAGGCCAAAAGCCCCATGTAAGAAGACATATCAGTAGGAAATAAACACACTATAAACAATGATCTGTCCCAACCCTCAGGATGGAACATCAATCTTCCTAAACATGTGAACACCCAAGTCTACGATCCCTCGGAGAGTTGCTACCTTATGCTTATGATGTCAATAAGCCGAAGTCTCCTGGCGAAGTTTAAAATGCTCAGCATCGCTCTATTTCTCGAATATTCAAAATTGCATGCTAATTCTTTCGCTCTATTGAGGAAGCGACGGCGGGCCGGCCCATCCATCGTCATAATTACTAGCTTGCAGAAACTCCAACCATCCAGTGTTCTCTCCCATGCCAACGTCCGCTGCATCCAATGGAGATATGTTTGGCCACATCATGTTCAAGACTCCGTTCATCTGGCCGTTCGGGACGTCACCCGCCGGCTTGTCCATCGACCATGGCTCCTCAAATGTCGTGCTGTCCAGCATCGCGGACGGCGACAGGTTCTCCTGGAACTGCATCGTTTGATTAGGCTCGGTCTCATAACCGTCCAGGTACCGCCCGCAGAGATCTAATATGGTGCTGTGACATCTAGCACAGCTTGCGTTCAGGCCGGCCATGGCTTGGATAGTTTCCAAAGCGGTTATGATCTGAGATCGCCATGCGGGGCTCTCAGGTGCGGAGGGCTCACTGCGGAGGCAGATGCAGGGGATGAGAGCAGCCTGGAAAATGAAGTAGCTAGGACCACTGTTAGAACCAGAAGGGTAGGGTAGCGATTGTGGAAAACTTACAGGCCATACCAAGCAGACAACCGGTTGTGCTCCTTGGTTGCCCAATATCCGGCAATGGACACGATCGTAGACTTGGCGTCAGCCAAACAACGTTTATAGGCCTCCTTGGATGAGGGATCCAGCTCAGCTCCATTTATTAGTGACTTCCGAATCACAAACGGGCGATACATGATGATTCGTAAATTCCTCAGTCTCCAATCGCACACGGCCTGGGCGTGGGCATAGCGTAGTGGGACGATGGCGGTAACCTTGAAGAACGACGGGATGGAAGCAAGCCACGGGGCAATGTGGGTGGCCTCCATATGGAGCATCTCCTCTGCAGTCGGTGGAGGCTTGGAAATCACCCTATCGTAGCACTGGTACGTTGCAGTGTTGAATCGGGCCTGTGTTGCAACCGCCGTATATGGAGTCATATGATTCGACTCTGGAGGGTAAGAATGCGATGCTGGCGTGAGGTCCTACATATGTGAGCGAATAGATACCACCAACTACCCCACCTGAAAACATACCTCATCGCCAACATTGAGCGGAAATGCGACCTCAACCCCCTGGAATGGCCATACGTTGGGACGGCTGAACGTAATTGACGCACCAATATCGAAGATCCCCAGCGTCCACCACACTCGACGGCGTATCTCCATGTTCAGCGGCGAGATGTTCCATCCTTGAAACTCTTTGTGAAGACCAAGCCCCATGGCCATTCTAGAGGCCAGCCCCGAGTAGTTGTATCCGGAATTAGGCTTGTCCCGCTTTTGGACGTAGTTGGAGGCCAGAGTCAGAGTCTGAACCAAAGTCACGTTACCTACCTCGAGGAAGTTGAAACTCAGCATCCCACGGGCCTGAGAAAACAGCGCCAGGTCCAGAGTGTCCTGTGAGGTGGATGCTGAGGTCCAAACTCCAATAGCGGCGACTACATAGGCCAATACTGACCAGCAAACGCCGTTTGGCCGGGGTATGACCTGACTGTACTGTGCCCGGAAGGTAGGTTCGTGGATGATGGGATAGCTGAGGTGATACATCCGAAAGTAAGCATCGATCATGGCTTCGGAAACATGCCGATTTGGATCCGGCTGAGGCGTGAGTGGGTATATTGACAGATTCTGAAAGGGTTTCGACCGCGAGCCTGCTCGGTGACGACGAGCGTTCGGTTCCAGCAGCCGCAGGAGGGCTGCCCCGGATGCTACACCCAAGTAGCCGCCCTCACTATCATCGATGGACAGCGAGCCCATGCCATCTAGCAGAGGACTCTCTCCTCCGATGGCCCCAGCCTCTTCAGGGAACAGCTCGCGGGAATACTCTGGATCATGCTCCGACCATTCGAAGTCATCCACCGGGGGGCCTTCCAGCATTTTGTCATGCTCAGGATCATGGTCCGTCACCGCCGACTGGGGCGGGGTCTGCTCTTTGGGAGCAATGGGAATCCCATCTCCGACAGACGCCTGGCGGGCATGGGTACTCCCAGAGAGGTCAGAGGACTGTCCCAAGGACGCATCGGGCGGCGGTACCGCGGGAGCGTCATGCTGCCAGGTGCGGAGGTGAGGCGGGATTTGCGTGGTTATTTGACGCAACAGAGCCTCAGCCTTCTCCAGACGAGTCTCTACCTCCGTCAGGTGCCTGTAGATGGATACGTCAGTTGCTGGCTGAGCCTTGATCGGTCCAGGTGGGACGGACGGACTTGCGAGTCAAGGGAGTGCGTGAATGCTTCTCATAGAGACAGTGGCGACGGTACTTGGTGCAGTAGTCGCAGGTGGGCAGGCCGCGGTTGCAACGGGCCTTGCGCCTCCGACACTCCTTGCAGGCCTGGTCTGCATATCCAATGGGCAGAGAAGAGTCGGTTGTCGTCGAGGTCTCGGCGTGGAGGAAATCCGCAGCCGGCGGGTCCACTGCCAGCGCGGCTCTGTCCATGAGGAGGAGCCTGCAGGGGTTGAAGCTACGGACAGACCTGCAGGCGACACGAGAATAAACTGCCCAGACGGCCGCGAGGAATTGGCTGGGACGATAGATCGGGGCGAGAGTCGGCCTGCCGGTTGCGGGTCTCACGGGCACTCTTACTGAGGGCGGAGGGTTGAGAGTTGAAGTAGGAAAAGCTCCTCTTTCTCACGAGGCCGAGTGGCGCCCCTCCACATCCAACATAGAGACAGGCAGTACTTGCATTTTCCTGCTTCAACTCACCACCCGCCCCGCTGCCGGACTCCTAGTCGCAGTCCGGGGCAGGGACGATCGGTTCAATTATTTCTGATCTTTTCCGCCCAGCCAGTCCGTGGCCAAAACACACTGCTCCGGCCGGAGATACCTTTTGACTATGTATACATTTTTATTCCCCGCCCGCCCATCTCCACAATTCAGCCAGACAGAGGTTGGCTTCTAAACATAAGCCAGAAGGCGGCAGCCGTTTCCATTGCCACCGCTAGCTAACCAAGGCTCTTCAATAGACCTTGTAGTCGTAGTACCAGAGATATCCTCCTGCGACTATCAAGCTCAGGACTGCGTTGACCAGCTCCAGCTCAATCACGGCCCAGAGCCACAGGCAGCCCACAGGCGGTGCCTGCTTCATGACAGCCAGGTAGTCGTAGTTGTTGCTGATGTGAATAAGATAGCACCCAGAAACCGCGCTCATGATGCCAAAGATGGTCTGTCGCAGTGGCTGCTGGTACTTCCGCGGAAATCCTGGCAGCAGGGTAGGGTTCGCCTCATGCGGGTGCAGCGGCCAAAACAGAATAAGAAAGACTATTAGCAATGGTCAGCTCTTTCGTTCTGTTTCTCTCTTTTGCACTTTTCCATGATGTGTCAATTGCCAATGTGTTGCTGTTCGGTTTCGCTTACCAACCCAGGCACGTGCGGTCCGAATGGCCACATCGCGATAGTCCATTTCCTTGCCGTACTGTTTTTGGACTAGGATGTCGAAGGTCAAGTGCAGCATGGAGAGCGAGATAGTGTAAAGCATCGCCTCCATGAACCGATCTGCGCCTGGAGAGAGGACATTCCGCTCTTCTTCGTCGTCCTCGGCCCTCCTTTCCTCAATCACTTCTCCCCTTTCCTTGGCAAGCTCCCTCCTGCGTTCCTCTGCTTGCGAGAACAGATCCTTGCCTTGCGCCAGATCCAAGAGCGTCTTGTCCGAGGGGCCAGAGCGGTCAGGCTGCTTGAGCTTGATGTCGGCTGCCGACTTGGGCTCCTTGCTTTTGCGCTGTCTTGCCATGATGTGGGAGATGAGGATTGAGACCCAAAGCACCGGAAGCCGCGGTTCTTTGATATTCTCCGTCAAATAGGTAGACCACTGTATAGGTAGTTTGCCAGTCACTTTTCCTCCAAGACCTTGTATGGAGACGTTGGTGGTGAGGTGGCAGATGTGGCTTGGAATTATTTAGTCGAGGTCGCGAAATTGACGATTCCACCATCACGCGTTGGACTGTAGTGTGGCTGGTCCCAGGAGAGCACCTAAAATGTGCCTGGAACCGCCTGAATTTGTGGCCACTGAGGGGCAGCAGTCAGACACCAAATCTTGAGTCCCGCTACACTTTTGGAGCATCTGGCTATTTTCGAATACTTCAAGCTAATAATAAACGGATATCTCGTTTATGATCAAATTATTTTGTTCTTACCATTATATTGTATGCTCATCAATTCAGTGCCTCATTTCTTTTCTCACCTGCTTGCCAGTGTCGCCCGCGCAGCTGTGCCTACCTATTGTCTGGAGTCACCCCTGCTGAAAGAAACACCCCTGCTGAAAGAAATACCCCTACTGAAAGAAATACCCCTACGAAAAGAAATACCCCTGCGAAAAGTAATACCCCTGCGAAAAGAATCACTCCTGCGAAAAGAATCACCCCTGCGAAAAGAATCACCCCTGCGAAAAGGTAGTTGTGCCTCAGGCATTACCTTAAGGCACTAGAAGACCCCTCCATCCCTTCTGGAACCACTGCTGGATGACATCAGCGCCCAAGAACTACACCCCTGTAAAAGAATCGCTAGCCCAATCATCGCCAGTGGTGGTCTTGTGCTCGAACCCTTCTATTGGCAAAGTGCAGTTCCAGCTCACGCTCTCCCTCAGCTCTCGTCCCACCTACTATTGTTGCTATGCTGAGGCACCTCCACACATGTCCCTGCACGGTTTCGTGCATGAGACCCCTCCCCTCCCCACAAAGCTAGGGCGCGAACATGAACTCGAGCGGGAAATGAGCCTCAAGGTGGCATTACTGCGATCTTCACCCTCAGCCTCGCGCGCCTAATCGTTTCTCTTCGACTTCGTTTGCGTCCCAAGCTGCTCATCGACTCGTTTCACCCGCGCCTCCCGCTACTCCTCGCCGCCAAGATGGACAGCCTGTTCAACCTCGCCGCGTTTGCCATTGTTTTCGTCCCCATCGTCTATTGGTTCGTGGCCCGCCTCGTCCAGTCGAGATTCCCCCAGCTACGCGGCAAACGCATCTGCCTGCTTATCGCCCACCCCGACGACGAAGCCATGTTCTTCTCACCGACCGTTCTCGGTCTTACTCGTCCCGAGACAGGCAACCATGTCAAGATTTTGTGTTTGAGTACCGGTACGCAACGCTAATGGCCTCTATTCCTCGAGGGTGTTATAATTTGAAGTAGAGGGGTGGCAGGTTCTCTGGTCCCGTGTTGCAATTTGTCTCTGTTGGCAAGGATGAACTATACGGGACTGGAACCGGGAAAGTGAAGAAATGAGAGACCCAATTTACACGCACAAGGGAGGAGATATCTAAGGCTGATGTGTTTGCCTTTAATTTAGGGAACGCCGACGGTTTGGGCGAAACTAGAAGGAAAGAGCTTGTTAAGAGCGGCATGCTGCTTGGGCTCAGGAGCGAGGACGATATCTTTGTCTTGGACAACCAGTACAATCTTGAGCCAACCTCGACTTCGCCCCACGACAGGTCCTTCAGAGCTAATTTCAGCATCGAAATACAGACGTGACTTCCCAGACTCGATGACTACCAAGTGGGATCACCAAAAGATCTCTATCCTCCTCTGCAGCGCCGTCGCTCCCAATCTCGCCCGCCAACGAGCGAATCCCGACGCCGCTCCTACCTCCAGCATTGACGTGCTTGTCACTTTCGACAACTCTGGTGTTTCCTCCCACCCGAACCACATCTCTTTGTACCACGGTGCGCGTACATTTATATCCGCCCTTGTCGAAGGGAAGAGCGAATTCCCCTGCCCGGTGGACCTATACACGCTGACCTCGGTGAACTTCTTCCGCAAGTACTCCTCAATCGGTGATGCCCTGACGACCTTGTTGCTCTGGGCGATCGGCCCCAAGAACGACAAGGGGGGCCACCCAAAGAGCCTCTTGCTAATGAACACTCTGTTTGGGGAGGGTGCGTCGCGGGGAACGGCCTGCAAGGCGATGACGGATGCGCACAAGAGCCAGATGGTCTGGTTCCGCTACGGATGGATATTCCTGAGTAGGTACATGATGATTAATGAACTCCGACTGGAGCACCTCGAACGCGCAAGCAAGTAGCGCGTCACGAAACTACAAGCTCGGGCAAAGGAGCCAACAACTAAACGACATGTGGTGCATTGTAGGTAGGAGAATGAGATCTCTAGTAAACATAACGGCTATGTGAATGCCCTATCTACCCTACGCACGCCAGACGCAAGTGACGGGGCAATCAACCACAAGGCCCCCTTACTTACGAATAGTGGGAATGTCAACTTGGCTGGAATTCACAGTGAGTAGGTGCCGAGAAGCGATTGTAGCAGTGGTCGTAGCTGAGTCGTTCGATCTATTCAGTCACCTAGCGTCCGTCCTCTGCTTCCCAATCGTGATTTAGCTCACTATTGATTTCCCTTGACAATATATTGATAACCAGAGCTGGATTGTTCCACGCGGTGGCGGATCGAGGCAAGCACAGGGCGCTCGGAGGTTGATGAAGATGAATGTTTTATATAAAACAATCGCGTCGAGCGTGGGAGGCTCTTTCTTGAGTAAAGCTCTTCTCTACAAACGAAACACACACGGATACGAACGACGATAAAATCATTGAACACAAGTCACCTACCTGAAAGCTGTTGACGAGAGGAACTCGTGGACCAACTAAAGAAATGTTCGCGGGCGAAATGACATATGTCCGCCCATTCACTGCTTCCCGCAACACCCAGGTATCCAATAAAGGGGCGAAGAGCATCGAGCTCACCCGCCTAGATCCTGCTCATCGCCCGTCGAGTGAAGCGGCGAAGCACAAGAAACTGGAAAATCCCAGAGTTGTCGATGTCACCGTCAAGCCAGTGACGGACCAGAATGGATCACCCATTCAGTAACTAGATATTCTTGAGTTGCTGAAGAGTTCCTTGGCAACCCGGTGTGAATGAGGTCTGTATCACGGTCTCAGCTGCCCGTGAAACTGGAACATCTCACATGGAGCATGGATGGATGGACCAAAGTCGTCATCAATCCACGACCAGCGGTATATATTTCGCTGCCTTGAGTAAACAGCCGAGACCCAATCCGGAATCTTTGCTCTCTCAAGGATAACACCATAAACACTCGACTGAAACTATCACAACAGACCAACACCTTTACTTCGGCGGAACAACTAAGCAAAACATGCAGGGAACCACGCCAACGGACTCTCCCGAGCAGACCCCTCGGGACGAAGAACATGCTTCCGACCAAACCATCGACAGCGGGATCGTCTCCTTCTCCAGCACGCGATGCACCTGCCCAATGTACCATTTCATCACCGACACCGGGATCTGCCCCAACTGGGTGGCCAGTGGCCGGTCCATATGCCAGATGTGCTACGAAGGCTGCCTCGGCGCTGGGATTGAAGAAGATCAGCTCGGCTGATGCAAGGACATGGACGCGGGGTTGATCCTAAGTAGACTGTAGGGGTTAAGTAGGCACCGGAGATGTAGTTAGCAATAGTCTGATGTATGAGCGCAGGAGTGATTAAAATGATCTTTTCTGAGTCATGTCAATTCGTTATTCAATATCAAAGTTATAAACAGTTTCCAGACACCGGGAGAGCGCTATGCACAGGATGAGGGCCAAACAGTAACCGTTAACAAGAAAGAAATTCATTTCATTTCGTTTCGTCGTGCTCAAAAGTGAACACTTCGCTTCTTCTTCATCTTCTTTTGCTTCTCCTCCTCCGTCCTGGCGCCACCGCCAAAGAACCCGCTGACGCTAGCCGCTGCAGGGCCGGCATACGGTGAAGTTTGGAGGAACTGGTTCAGTTTCTGACGCCTTCCGCCGTTTGCGCCGCTGGCGCCCTGCTGGGCTGGCTGGACGTCTGGGATAAACTGAACCGACGGTCCCACGCTCTGCGGACGAGGAGGGCGTGCTTCGGTTGGGCTCCATCCTCCCCCGGCGCCAGACATCGACGCTCCATGTGTTCGTCGAGGAGGCAGAGCTGGGGAGGGCGGCGACCTTGCGCCGTTACGGCCGGGCTGCTCCACGCCATATTCTCTCCGGAGGCGCTCCGTCTCGGCATCGACCTCGCGCTGGCGCCGCTCTCTCTCCTCTCTCTCCTCCCGCTCCAGCATCTCTCTGATCCGCTGCTGCTCCTCCCTGTCCTGTCTCTCCCGGTCTCGCGACATGGCCTTCTCCTCTGCGACGAGCTTCTGCAGCCTCTTTGACTCGGCGTCGATCTCTGCCCTTCGAGCATCCTGGGGAGGTGGGCGCGACGGGGGCGCAAACTGCTGCTGGCTCTGCTGTTGCGGCGAGGCAGGTGTCACGCTGTTCAGGGCCCCTGACATGGCGAGGGGCGGCGACGAGTTCTTGCGCGGGGCCTTGCCCGCCTTCACGCCAGCTGCGCTCGGAGCCGCAGCTCCGGCGGTGTTGAACGGGTCTGATTTGGGGGAGAGATACAGGTCTCTGATGACCTCGGCGCTCAGCAGAAGCACCAGCTCCAGGCCCTTGCGGTCCTCCACCTCGACGCGGTTCATGTTGGGCTCGTAGATGGCCACCGCCCCCTCCGTCTTGCCCGCCTGGAAGAGCGCGACGGTGATGTCCGGCTCCTTGGCCTTCTTCCCGCCCACGGTCCTCCCGGACATGTAGCAGGTCATGTCCCTGTTCATCCTGCTGTCCCGCTTCCAGTGGAAGTTGAGCCGGGGGATCAGGTCGGCCAGCACGGGCGTCGAGGCGTCCTGGTCGATCTTGCTGGCGCTCGGCGTCTTGAAGCTCGTCTCGGGCACTTCGAACTCCCACGCGTCCTTGCTCCAGCTGCTGGTCTGGTACCGGACGGTGATGCTCTGGTCGGGGTTGTACAGGGACACGGAGAAGGAGTGAGGTACGACGGGGAGGGCGACCGCGTTGCCGCCGTTGGCGCGAACCTCGGCAGCGGAGAGGGTGGGCTGTGTCCAGTCGGGTTTCACGAGCACCTCTGCGTACACGACGGAGCTGTACTGGACGTCGAACAAGCCCAGGGCGTACTGGTTGGGAGCTTGGCCAGGCGCCGGTCTCTTGAGGAGGTACTCTGGCCGGGCCTCGGAGCCATTGTGTGTGTAGTATAGGATCGAGTTCAGGGGGTTGTCGGAGGAGACCCGAGAGCGGTAGGTTGGGAGATTTTCGTCGAGCATCTTGCCCACGTCAGCTCTCACTGGTGGGCGGGCAGCTGGATGCGAGGATGGTTTGGGTGTCGCGGGGTTCGGAAACCTGATGAATGGGAGTTAAAGGGTAGAAATTCGTGAAAAGAAAAGAATTTTCGAGGTGAGGGGAGCGAATTGTCAGTTGGCAGAAGTGGTCAGGCAGCCCTTGAGGATGATCAGGCTGAGGACGTGCGCCCAGATGGAACAACCACGAAACGCAGTCACGAGGCGAAGCTAGGCGAGTGGGGAGTCCCGGTTTGACAATCCAAGTGATGCTGCCTAGAAATGTAGCACAAAAAAAGAACGAGAAGGAGACAGCTAAAGACGTCAAAGTTGGTAGAATTGGATAGGGCAGAAGCGGCTGAAGAGGGAGCAGGCCCGTTATATTGATTACGACCCTCGATGCAGCTTCTGGGCGTTCGCACTAACTAGCCCGTCGGATTCCAGAAGGCAAGTGGACCGTCCGTTCCCTAAAGCTGGTCCGTTTCAGCGCGATTGTGGCTGCGCTTCATCGCCCCGTGCTGGAGACGTCATGGCTCAGGCCCCGCTGCGCCACAACCGCCCGTGCAGCGATTGGCTCGCTCGCCTTCAACGTGGAGAGAAGAACGGGCGAATTCATCAGCTCACTCGCAAGAGCTGCGTGTGCGCCAAGCCCACTTACGTTGCTGCGAGATCGATCAATTCCTCCGCGCCCGCCGTTGCAGGTGCCGAGGAGGCTGCCGTAGGGATGAAGCTAATGCGAGCTTCGCGTCCTAAAAATACATGAAGGGGATAAATGGCTGGTCTGGCGCGGAGACGTGAAATCGGATTGAACTGCTTCATCCAATCCAAGATGTGGCTCAGCAATCTAGCACTCACTCCGTTGACTGATATGGGGCGAGTACGGTATCCGAACCCTGCCATCTCATCTTGTGAACGCAGCAAGGTGTGATGATGGAATACAATGTGGAAGTTCTCACTCACACAGGGTGTAAAGTGAATAGGTCATAGAGCCATTAACAAATACCCTGTAGAAACTAGTTCTTGACAGGAGCCGTCTTAAGGCCAATGAATCATCAAAATGGGGCTCGAGATAGAAACTATCCTGGGCTAGCCAAAGTCAACACCATGACGGCAGAGATACCGTTTTTGAGATGTTTCCTTAGCTTCAAGTACTTCTCACAACGAACCCCCATCTACCACGTGAGGTCTAGTATCAGATAAGTGCTTCCACAATTCATCCTATTTTCTTTATGAGTATGAAAAGCGGAGTTGGAGCGCCATTCAAGGATCGCGCGCGTATAAATCCCAATCAAGACCATCCAGTTTTGAGCCCGGAGTTAACCAAATGCCCATTGACCTACCCATCCAGATTGGGTGATATTAAGCTTGACACACCAACATCACCACCCAACAAAGTATCAAGTTGCGCGGGAGCATAATTGATAAACTTACGCTGTCAAGTGAAAAGCAGAGTGAAATAGCAGCTTAAATATCCAAAATCAAAATCTTCAAAGAATTCAAGTCAAAAAAATAATATACATATACCCTGAGCACGAGTCTAGTCTTCCATGTTTTATATCCCCTCATGTAAGGTACTCAAAGGACGGGAATTCTGTAAAGGTCAATAAACTTTGACTGTAAATGATCTGTCACTTGCCGCCTTATCAGGAAAAAAACTCAATGGATCCATCAAAGTGAACAAGGTCAGATATTTGGCTCATCATGATTCATACTTCCCGCCATGATGATACCTTGATATCATCTAACTCCGTTGTCACCGAGACGCCTCCACCCCGCGTCCGCTCCAGCCCGCCCACCCCCACCTGCCGACGCGGAGATATCTTCAAAGTATAAGGCAGCCCAGCAGTATAAGAAGATGAGAAACTCTGCCTGCCATGACTTTTTCTCCTGCATGCCCAGCACGGCAAAAAGAAACTGAAAGTTTATTACCATCATGTCTTCACCCAGAGTCTGGTTCATCACTGGGGCGTCCTCCGGCCTGGGCCTCAACACGGCCCTCAGCGTCCTGCGCAGCGGAGACCGTGTTATCGGTACCGGCCGCAACATCAAGAAGGCCGCAGAGGAGACACCTGAATTTGAGAAGCTCGGCGGCCAGTGGCTGCAGCTGGACGTGACCGACAAATCGGCCCAGGCGACAATTGAAGAGGCCGTCAAGCGCGAGGAGGAGCGCCTAGGACAGACCGGCCCGATCCACTGGGTCGTCGTCAACAACGCAGGGTACGCAATCATCGGAACAGCCGAGGAGGCAAGCGAGGACAAGATCTCCGAGTACTTTGACGCCAACGTCTTCGGCGCCATTCGGGTGTGGAAGGCGTTGATCCCTACTCTGCGCCGGCACAAGACCGGCACGCTCGTCACGCTCTCCTCGTACATGAACGTACTTAACAAGCCTGAGCAAATGCTGTACTGCTCAGTCAAGGCGGCACTGGCTTCGCTGGCCGAATCCTACGCTGGGCTCCTGGCTCCTTTTGGCGTCCGCTCCCTGATCATAGAGCCCGGTGGCTTCCGCACCAAGTTCGTTGGCAACATCATGACAACAGACGGGCCGGAGGTGGAGGACTATAAGAAAAAGATTGATGACTGGAAGGGCATTGTCCAGTATGTCCTTCAGAACCCAACAGCCGTGGATGGCGACCCTGAGCGATACGGCCCAGTCGTCGTGGATGCAGTGCACGGGAAGGGCTTGTTCGAGGAGATCTGGGCAAATCACGATACAGAGAAGGCGCTGCATGTTCCTTTGGGTTCAGATTCATTGGAAATCCTCGGAAACAAGTACAAGGAATGGGCTGCAGGAGTGTCAAAAATGGCAGATGTAGGCAAGTTAACAGATGCGGACAAAGGGAAATAGGGGTATATATGAGAGACGCAATGGGTCTAACCTTTGTACATCAACCTAGAACCACCAAATCTAAATTATTCAACTTCAAAACTCCATTCAGGTCGAGGAGATCCATGTATTCCCCTGAATAGTATCAACACCATAAGCAAATCAAGACGTTGCACAGCAGGGACTTACCTGCAACAATCCATCGCTCTCCCAGCGACCGCAGTCGGGCCAGAATAGCCCTCAGAGCCTCGTACATTTCGGGCTCATGGTCTTGGCGGATGAACCAAGCACAGATTGTGGCGGCATCGTAAAGACATCGGGCGATAAGAGGAGAAGTTCCTTCTATCGATGCAATCCTTGGCGCCGTATGCAACGCTTGGGTTCTGCAGCCTTCCAAGCTATTCTTCTGCATCTGCATCTCCTGCGCACTCGGCACACGGGGTCTGATACTCTCGAAAATATTGCAACCGTAGTTTTCGTACAAGATGAATCGCGCCGACACACATATTGCAAGGGCGCTGTTTTTGGCAGAGAGCGCTTCTTGACCCTTTTCGCCACCATCTCCCGCTTCATCGTTCTCCAGAGCAAGCTGGAGAGTATTGAGGGTCCGGTCAAATTGCAGAGCTTCAGCCGTGAGAGTAGCGGTATTCTGAGCCGTGTGTTGGGAGGAATTACTCGCCTGTGCGTGTTGTAGTACTCTGTCAAGAAGGTGGACGGCCTGGCACGTTTTGGCAAAGTATCCAAGAGGTGTGACGGCGGTCAATACGCTCGTGGAAACAGGCTCGCCAGGCACTATTCTTCCCCTATCCCAATCATCATCATCAACGGGCAGGAGCTGGTCTGAGGGGAAATCTGGCACGGCAAGAGGCATCCCATTAGGTTCTATATGCAAGCACCGGTCAAGGATGTAAATAGTCCACCAGGTTCTGCGCATCTCTTCCCGGAGCGACTGAGTTCCCGGATCCTTGAACATTGGCGTTGACGAGCCGTTATTTGGCATGCCCAACAGCATTCCCAACCTCGCCGCACGGCTTATGTTGGTAAAAGCTGCAGGGTACACAGCATGGAATATCTCATATGCAGCCAAAAGCACATTGGCCTGCACAATCCGTAATGACAGGGCGCCTGAGGATTCCGCCGTCATGCAGAGTTGCCTTACGAACGTATACAAGCTTGACATCGAGGGCTGGCCCTTGGGGACGTCGAAGCTGAGTTTCATGCACAACAATAGCACCGTGAATCCCGCGTCCGGCTTATCAGCTTTCAAATCCTTCATCAGATTTTTCTTGCTGATGAAGGGCATCCATGGGTGGACTTTGGAAAGATACTGATCGCAGATGGCTTGGCGATTTACACCAAAATGCTGCTTGGCCTGCTTTTCCAGTTGGGGCTGATAACCCCAGGTCAGCGACTCGGCCGCCAGAGGTGACGTGAGCGCTGCATCCAGGAAAAAGGACTGTGGAAACGGCTGCTCTGCGCCCGAGAAGGTGTAGGTGACGTTCCGACTCGACGACGCTGGTGAATCATCTGGTGGTGGGCTGGCACCACGAACACGGAGCGTCTCGGAGCTCGCAGTGTAACCGGTTGTGGATAACCCCGGATATCTGCATGGCTTGTGTAAGCGGACGCACTGTTTATGCCAACAGTGACGTATCAGTCAGTTACACCAGGATTTGCGATATTGTTTGTGAGTTTGGACGCACCAGCCCGCATGCTGGCAAGTCTTTGGTACACCTTCGTTTAAGGCGCCTAGGACGCGAAAGAGGTCAGTGCCGAACGAGGCCCGGGATTAAAGTCTAGTTATTCGTACCGGCAGGCGTGACAGGCCAACAACGCCTTGTCCGGGTTCATTATCGCCGCCCACGCTGTGTCGTAGGATACCAAAGGTTGTCAAACCGAGGACGCGAGGTGGACACTCGATCAGAAATCGCGGTCCAAGAAGGTGGAAATTTCAGGGTCACGGCAGGGCATCGGCAGGGGTTACAGTGGAGGTAGCGGGGCCCAGCCCCCTGCATGCCAGATTACCGCCCACTGTTATCCGAATGCTCAACTGAAGGATCACCTGGGCAGCCCCGAGCCGACGCCCTACGGCTGCTCCTGCCGCCGAGAGATCGATCACTGATGCTTGAGGTGGCCACCTTCCTTTCCTGCCTGCCTTTAATCAATCATCGATGTCTTGAGAGTTCTCGAAGTCTCGACTCGCAAGGGTCTTATAAGTGTTGCGTTGCAGCGAGTGAAAATCTTTGTATTTATGGAAATTCCACGTTGCATCGAGCAAGAGCCTCCTTATTCATGCAAACTTCGAGTTGCACTCACCACAACCTGTTCTTTACATATCACGGAGCAGCAATGCGAAATAAACTTGGTAGGAGAATCTCTCCATTTTTTTTATATCTCTTTTATTTTCTATCGTCATAAAATCTACCATGACTTGAAGTCCTGCAAGGTCTGGGTTGCGACAGGCCAGCCTATGTAGAAGCGAATAGGTCAGTACATGTGGAATGATATCGAGGCCAAGCGCCATGACCTGTCGCATCGCGCCGGAGCTCGTCTAGAGACTACGGCCGACCGAGCGCTTGGATCTCTTGTTCTTGGAACGCTTGCACTTGGGGCGTGTGGTGGAGGTGGGGGCAGCAGAGGAGCTGGCGGTGGGCTGGGCCTGGGAGGAAGCCGGCGCAGTGGTGGTTGCGTCGGGGACCTGGGAGAAGAGCGAGGACTGCTGCTCGGAACCAGCAGTGGATGAGGTGGCAGCAGCAGAGGTGGCCGAGGAGGCGACCGAGGAGGCAGCAGACGAAGCAGCAGACGAAGCCGCCGCGGAGGACGAGGGAGCTGCTGCTGCCGATGAAGAGGAGGAGGAAGAGACAGTGTCGGGTGTGGCATTGGAAGATCCCGAAAAGTTGGATGAGGCCTTAGTCTCGGAGAGGGCGGCAATGCTGACGTTCTTGACAGTGACAACGTTGCCCAGGGTGCTGGTGACACGCACGTCAACGGTGTCGCTGCCGAAACCGCTAGCGTTTTGGAAGAAGTTGTAGTCCTGGCGCTCAGTCTTGGACCAGGTGCTGCCTCCGTCGGTGCTGACCTCGAGGCTCTCAACGGGCTCGTTCGAGTTGACGACCTGCATCGCGAACCAGTACTTGGAGGTGCCCTCCTTGTTGCGGAGGGTGAGAGGCGTGGTGATGGGGCACTTCACGAACTTGTACGAGGTGGAGATGATGCCATCGCCAGTGTTTCCAAGCTCAGCGAAGGCGTTGATGAACAGATCCAAGTGGCCCTGGTCACATTCGGGACACTCGTCGACAACCTATGGTTCAAACAAGGTCAGCTTCTATGATCACAACCTCCCAGTTCTTTTCAAGATATGGAGCGTCTTTACCATGGCAGTGATGGTGTTGCCGTTAGGGCCAGTGACCTCCACGCAAGAACCGCAGGCAGCAGACTTATCCCAGACCTGTCCGGAATAAGCTGTGCCCCAGATGCCAGAGGGCAAGGTGTAGGTGTTGAAAGAGCAAGCACCGCCGTTCAGGTTTCCGCCATAGTGAGTAGATTTGCCAGTGTAAACAGTGCCATCAAGGGACACAGCAGCAGCCAGGCCAGCAGCAGAGATAATGAGTGTAGACTTCATTGTGGAAGAATCCTGCTTTCAACTTGAAAGTAAACAAAAATACAGTAGGGAGTGACCGAAGAAGTGAAATGTTCAGGTTGCCAGAAAGAGAAGGACGAAACAGTAGAAAGGCCCCAGACCAAGGCTTTTATTACAGAAATTCAAGCCATCTCCAGTGTACCAGCTGCAGATGGGTGGACTGACTTGGAGCCAAGATCCCGGCTCGGTCATCTCGCCAGGTGAAACGACCGGGGTCTGGAGAATCCCGTCTCAGGGCATCGTACCAACAAGGAGGTTTCTGGGCTGCAGACGCTGGATTTTCTTGTTTGACCTGTCGACATCAGGAGATCGGTCCCAATGATAGTCGTGTTGAGGCACATAACATGCTATTGACTGTCTTCATCCTCACACGATAGTCGTGACTGGTTTTGCAGTTGCAACAATGCCGAAACACCAGCACGCGGAGAGCATGTCACGGCTCCACAATGCGGAGGTCATCTTGACAGGAGTAATAACCAATTTCACGCCTCATCAATTCCTGCAGGCATCTTAGCTAATGTATGGTTTGGGGGACGAAAATGGACCTGCGAGTGTGGTCAGCCTGCATTATATTGGGAGCACAAGGATGACAAATGAAGAGTGACTTTGAGCAAATAAAGCTGAGATCCATTCAATGCAGAAATATACATACGCATAACAATAAAATGTTACAAATTATATTTACGCAGTCCAGTCAGAAAACTATCTTCTCATACCTGAAGCAAGCAATAGGGCAGTTCTCGTCTAAGTTCTGTAAGGTACTATTCTTGGAAAGGGTCATCCATTGCTGAGTCGTCTCTGTCGAAAACACCTTTGCACGATTTTTAGCACCGAACAGACTTTGAGTTCAAAACTACAAAGAATTACGTAGATTTGCTATTGCTATTCTAGTGAGTTTATAGCCTGATACATTGGCAGTTACCGCTAGGAGTTTATGTCGCTGTGTCGCCATGAGGCAGCTCCAGCTACCTGTGCTTGGGCTTGTTTGCCTGCCACTCGTTCTCAACTGGCTCTCACTTTGACTTGAGCACTTCTCACTTTGTCACACCAAATGAACAACGCGTGCTGCACGAGTGCCAATAACTTTCCTTGCCCCTCTTCCTTCCTCGCCATCACCTCACCATTCTCCTTCTTCCTCCACCTCAGCACTCTCTTTCTTCATTCACCTCTCCACTACCAGAACAGAAAACGCAACAATCCTTACAAAGAGATCATCTCCAAACCTGTGAGATATCTCGACTTCACAAATCCTCCAAGACATTCAAAAAGAGCAAAAAAAAAAAGAACAAACGAGAAAGTCCCACCATGTCTGAATCAAACGAAACTGAGCGGCAGAAATGCTTTCGGGAGTTGCAACAGACCATGCAACATCTCGCTGAGTTGGAGAACAAAGATGGAAGCTCATCACAAGGGGGCCAGCAGCCCGGTACGGATTCTATTAACACGTCTGAAATACTGGCTCTAGGAGCGAGTCTCAAGGAGAATTCAACAGCTGCAGAATTTTTTGAAATCGCGGCTCGAATTCAGTCGGAAATCTTCAAGAACGGCCTGGTCTTCCACGTCCCCGGTACTGCCGAGCCTGATGGTGGCCATTCTGCTCGCTCGGGACCTGACACATTCTCGGGATGTGCTACCAACGGCAACAACAAGGAATCTGAGAAGGCGGAAAACACACAAGGGCTCGCAACAAGCGTAGCCGACACTTCCCGCATCCAAGAGCCTAAGGCCAGCAATCAAATGTCAGCCGAGGATGTCACCAGCGCAAGTGATGAGAAGGCGACAAACGGCGCAACCGAAAACGAACAGAAGTGAAGCGAAGACTTTTCATGAAAATTCACGACGGACGCATTTTCTGCCAAGGTAGTGTTTTCAAAATCCGAAAGACGCTTGCTTGCTATTCGCTAATGATCACCCTGAACACAGGCAGAACTGCTTTAGTTACCGATATCGAATTTTGTGAAGGGCGACCCAACTAGGAACAGCGCTGAAGTTGATTGTCTCATGAGACCTATGGTTCATTATCCTTCACTTGCTGTGCTTGATCGCAGAGAACTATGCAATGTATTGGAATTTGAGGCGCGGAACGTTCTCGACGGATGTGTTCTGAGGATTAGTCCAAGGTAACGGATGATACAGAGTGTGTCTAGTTCGGACCTCAAGAGAATAGAAGAAACATAATCAGACAGTCTTTCTCCAAACTCCTCTGCGTGCCGTCGTATCGCGGACATTGGTAATATCATAGACCGCAAGGGCTTGTTTGTAAATTAGATCTGTTATCGCCGTCACCGTAATCAGTGGCTTCAACAGACCAGACTAGATCTACCCATAAGCGAGCCAAGAGAACAAACCTCATATTGTCAACTCCAACAAGGAATCAAGAGCTCCCCAAGACCCGCCAATTATCTCAGCCTCGAATGGAATCACCTGCGCCATTAGTCTCGGAAGGTCAGGGGAGAAAATTCCGAACCGGTGTGGCATCCATCGGGATTTACACACAACACGTCTCAGTTATCTGATACACTCGCCGTACATCAGGGGCATGCGATGTTACACAACTCCTCAGCCAATGAGTGACGTGACTCTAGGTGCCACATGAGACAAACCCGACGCTGCACCCCAACAATTTGAGACTTCCGAGAATCCGAATGATTCGGACGCTCCGGTAGCAACCCGTCACGAAAATACCACGCGACAAGCTGGGAGGTCGAACCTGCACTATCCTGTCAAGTGCTACAGGGCATGCAGAACGTTCAATTGAACTCCAAGACGCGTATATAGAAGGTTAGATGATAGGGTTTTGATAAATACGCAGAGATTGCTCCTGTCGACCATCAATTAACACACGCGGGAGAGCGAGCACGATGTTTTCCCCTGCAGCAAGCTCCAGCGAATGAACAAAAGGAATAGGACCATGGTGTCCGAGTAGGACCTTATCTCTGCTCCTTCGAGAATTTGAATTGCAACCACACCAAATCCCCCCCTTTGTCCTTCTTCCTCGACCGAACCCCGATTTATTTGATTTCTTTTTTAATTGGCCCGGATGTTCCGCCTCTAAGCCTTGACGGCGTCCTTGGCAGCCTCGACACCCTTCTTGACTTCCGACTTGGCCTCCTCAGCCACGGCGGCAGCGCCGTCCTTGGTGGAGGAGTTGTGGAGGGCGATACGGGTGACCTGGACGATACCGACAATGGCGAGGAAGAAGTTGACGGTAGCGAGGCTGTGTGTGTCACGGAGTTAGCGGTAAACCCACGGAAAATCAGAACCAGCACTATCAAACACCAGAAGGGCATTATAGACTCGCAGATAGATGCCAGTAGGGGTTTTACGTACAGGACGTTTCGGGGCTTGATGATCAAGCACCAGCGGGTCCAGATGAGACCGGTGCAGGTCAGGGCGAAGTTCTGGGTGAAGGAGAGCTTCTCGGCGGGACGGGCGAAGTCGGCGATACCAGCGATGACAATAGCCCACTGTAACACAGTCCCAAAGTCAGCCACGCTACGTCTTATCCGTGTGAGTATTGCGAAGCGCATCAGCGACGAACCTTCATGATAGGAGCCCTAGATCCCCATGTTAGCAAGCTTGTCCCACATGTTATTTATCTTAGCCAACGTAATCCAGGGTCATTACATACCAAAAGTGGACAGTCTTGAAGCCAATCTCGCTCTCCCACATCTTCTTGAACCAGCTCTGCTGCTCCTGCGCGGCCTCGGCGGTGCTCTGCCACCTCCTGCCCTGGCCGAAGCGAGGGGCGGAGATGCGCTGGCGGAGGGCGGCATTGCGGGTGAAGAAGGGGGCCTGCTGGCGGAACAGCGGCCTGGCGGCGCGCATCACGGTGTTCGTCGTCGAGGCCATTGTGGTGTAGATGCTGTGTTTTTAGGAAAAAGTCCCGCGGCAGGATCGGTCCTCGGAGTAATTTGTGCGAAGGTCCAACTTTTTTTCGCCCCTGGTCAGCAACTCATGTATCAGACACCCGTGCTCGTCGCACCAATCGCAGTAGGGACTTTTTCTGGTATACGTACCGGTAAAAGGGTATCAACTAGGAGAGAGGACGAAGAGAAGGGACAAAGAGGTGAGGGGAGATGGTATTCCGACTACAAGATGGATGGGTTGTCGTTGAACAACGGTTGGGGATGACGCTAATTGCGAGCAGTTATTAGATAAGCCGAGCGATACCGGATTTCCCACGGCCCAAAATGCTACCCTGCACAAGATAGACGAGCCTGCACAAGCGGCCCACATATTTTTCACAGAGGTTATGCTCGGTTTCCTCCAGCCAATCCCAGGGCCGGGAATTGCCAATTGAACCGCCCGGCATCAAAGCCTCAAATCATCGCGACCAAGAAGCTACCCGAGCTTGTCCAAGCCAGAGCAACGGCCGTCACATCCTCGCACCCTGATCATCTTCAGCACTGTACAACAGGTAGACCGCCTGCAGTTCAACATCCACAATGGCTTCCAAATACGCCTTCGCCCAGTCCCTCAAGGAGGTTCGCTTCCTCTTCTGCCAGACCTCTGAGCAAAGCGCGGCCGTCCGGTTAGCCCAACCCTCTCGCTACGCAGCTGGCACGTACCTCACGCGGAGGTGCTGCTGAGCTTCAAGCCAAGAAACTCAATTGCTAACCTGCCGTTCACTCGCATAGATCCTTCATAAACCGCGCGTATCCCACGATGAAGAAGAACAACCCCACCATTCCCATCCTCGTTCGCGAGGCCCAGGGTACTATCCCCAAGGTTTACGCCCGATACGGTACGATTATCCTACGAACCCGGAAAATTGGTGTAGGGGACTTAAAACTAACGGCTGCAACAACAGATTTCGGTACTGAAAAGTCACAATCTCTGGAAGGTCTTTCGGATAAACAGGTCGAGGATGCAGTGGCAGGATTAGTCAAGGAAGGACCATGATTACACATTGTTGAGAGTTGCCAGTGGTACGTTGACCGATACCGAACTGTACATATGATATTTCGGAAACAATTGTATCATTACATTTCACAATTACGAAGAGAGGACTGGATGATGTATGGCCTCCTTCCTTTCACATGGTTGGGCTAATCGGGGCGCACTTTTCTGTCATTGAGCTGGAAATGCCCATTCATTGTCTTCTATAGCTATTTTCGAACTGAAATCCCACCTGGGAAATGGTGACATGAGAAGCTAGGAGCGCCCTTACCTCAAGATAAGGAGCTCTATATGTTGTGGTAAAATGTTTCTCCTCCGCACCTCAAAGGACGAAGAAAAAGAGGTTGCAAACTTTACGTTTCCAATTTCATATCCATGCCCTGCCCCTTAGATTAGACCGTTCAAATCCCAATAGTGTTGTCTGCCTCACGCCACCAAAGTAACTACACTCTCTTCGAGATGCTGGCATAGTAAATCGAGTTAACGTCTTTTCCATGCCGCAGGCGCGTCGTTCAGTAACATGTCTTGAGTAAGAAGCTCTCGCGGAGGAAGCCTTGGCCACGAATCGTTGACTAAACCGGGCTGATCTCCAGGTTCGTCAGGATCACCGGGGTCACCGGGTTCACCAGAGGCTGTGGGCGGTTCTTTCTTTTTCAAGGCCGGGCCTTCTTCGATTTCCGTCGCAGGGCCCGTGGGATCTTTCCCTTTGCCTTTGCCTAATTTTATCTCTGGTTGCTTCCCCTTTGTAAATATTATATGCGGCGGAGATTCTGAGCGGGACCTGTTGGGTTTTTTGTCTTCAAAGTCAATCGTCTCAGAGGAGCTGCTTCGGTTTCCCCCCTTCTTTCGTTTATAGGGTTCATCTCTCTCTCGTTTATTGCGTGCCTCAATCTCTCGTTTATTCTGAGCCAGCAGCCCAAATACCCCCAACGTGACGCTCATGTCACTGTCTTCATCCGAGGATTGCTTCTCTGCAGGAGGAGATACGAAGTCGGTTGCCCGTGGATTCAGACCACTGCTTGTTTCACTCGTAGGTGTGGCCATCCTTGATGAAGAGGCTTCGCTCTCCAAGCCCGACTGTCCAACACCGACAGAGGTGTTTATCTCGAGGCCTTTCTGCGGCTCCCAGTGTGAGTCTGTGACTTGAGGCCGCTTTGCTCGCTTCTTTGGCATCTTCAAGGTGCCTCCACTTCCAAAGGGTGCCCCAGCCTTGTATCCCAGGGTATCACGACCAAAAGAGTCGGGTGTTTCGCTGGGCTTGTTCCCATCGGACGGAATTTGGGGATCTTCCGCCTTACAGTCAGTTTTGAGAGTTTTAGAACTGGGGGTCGGGTCGGTTTCTTCAGGAAGTCTATCTGACGCGCGAGGCTCTTCGGCTACCGCCAACGAGGAGACCGACTGGTTTCTCTTGCCCTTCTTGTTCTTCTTCTTCTTTTTGCTCTTTGGTTGACTCTGCTCCACAGGTGGTGTTTCGTTTGGCGGCGCGGCTTGATCAGACTCATTTTCTTTGGTAGGAGGGCTGTTTGAGGCATCAGGCGATTCTTCCTGCTCGCTGCCATGTTGGTGTGCTTCGATTGTAACTTGTTGGCCGGGTAGTAAGCCGAAGAAGTTCGTGATCTCTCTCTCAACACCTCGGCGCCGATTCTCCTGAATCGTCAAGGTCTGAGGGTGTTGCTTCTCTCTACCCATTCTGTTTCTTCTTGGTGATACGAGCTGAAATCCTTCAGGGTCTACCGACTGTTCGGCCTCAGTTTGCTGCGGCTGGGATTTCGGAAGCGGGGAAGTGGTTTGGTTTTCCTCCGTAGTGCGACTTTTACCTTCGGAGGTCTGAAGCTTCCTCTCATCAGCGTGAGCCTTGGGAGCCGATGAGGTTGGCTTAGCTAAAATTGGGAGGTTTCGCTTCTTGGTCTTTTGATCTTTCAAAGGCATTGGGATCCGATCCCAAGCTTGCTTCCTGCCCTTAATCTCTTCTTGAGTGAAGATGCTCGGAATTCTGGAATTATTCCACGCCGTAGGCTCCGAGACTTCCTCGTTTTTGAGTTGTTCTGCTTGCTTTTCGGGTTGCTTTTCTAGCGTTTCATGTTTCTTTTCGTGCTTTTTTTGTTGCTCTTCAGGTTTGTTTTCCTGCGTTTCAGGTTTTTCTTCCTGCTTTTCATGTTTCCTTTCTACAGGTGCAACGTCTGGCCCTCCACTAGGATGCTGACTTGATGATTCCAATTCGATCCTCGATGAGCTGGCCCCATCAAGTCCTTGGGAACTCAGCTGCCGATTTTCAGACAAAGTCTCATCTTTTCGGCGCCCATGACTCTTCTCCTTCTTTGTTTTCGCTGGCTGCTTGGGCGGAGTTTGGATCAAGCTGTCCGCAGGCATCTTGCGAAGCGGGTCATCGAGGCCATGAGGTTGTGGCTCGGCCCCCCTTTGTTTACTTTCCACCGCTCCTTCGGTTGGTTTCGTGTCGGCCATGTTATCTGTTGGGAACTTGTCGTCAAGGCTCGGGTTGACAGGCGCGGGAGCGCTTGTCTCGCTTGGCAGTGCCACTCTGACACTCGCTGGTTTAGCTTCGGATGTACCCCACGGAGAAGTCCCATCATCTAAAACTTCGACAGCAGGTGGCTTCGTTTGAGAATTTTCGACCCGGATACCGGAAGCCTTCTGTTTTCTTTTACTGCTCTGACCCCGCGGAGGCCTTGGCGGTGAACGCATTTCAACCACAGCGTCGGCTTGACCTGGCATTTGACTAGTGATCGGGACAACGGGTACAGCCGCTTTTGAGGCCATTGCTTGAGCGGAGTAAAATCCAGAGACTGAAGGATCACCTGGCTTAGGCAAGTATGCATTGTCCGTATGGGGCATCGCTGGTAGGTTCGGCGGCATGAAGGGTGGCGGAGGGTTGAATGACTCCTGCTCGAAAGGCCTAGCCGGCTCCATATAGTTCAGCGGCGGTTGGCCAACAAAGGATCCCTGCCTCTGTCTGCTCAAAGAGCCGAGTCTTTGCTGCCCTGATGACCCTCGTCGATTTCTGCCCCATATGGCTTGCCATTTTGATCTATATGAAGGTTTGATGCTCAATATAAGGTGGTTGATCGTGAGGTTGCCTTCGGTTTGAAGTGCATTATTCACAGAGGATTCATTAGTAAATCTGTAAAAATTGGTCAGCAGTGTTTTTTAACAACAAGGCCCCGCTCTACTTACCTGGCAAGGAACGTGAGACCCGACTTAGTAGGTATCACGGCTTCTACAAAACCAAATCTGTTACTAAAGCCAAACTTGATTCGCGACTGGATATCCATCATATCCTGTAGACATGGGCCTTGATATACAGTGACATGAACACTGAGATTCCTTTCTTTGCAATGGATGCATTCACAATGAACGTAGACATGTTTCTCCGGAGCCATGTTGTTGCAGCGCATTTGCGGTGGCTGCCTGTGGTGGAAAGACCCGTGGCTTGGCTGTCTGTGGTGGAAAGACCCGTGGCTTGGAACTCTCCCAGTGGTATTTCTGACGTCTCCAGATACGAACCCAGAGGGTCCTGAGATCGAGGCTACTCGATCATCCGAGCTTCCACCCTTGAAGCTGGTTTTAGGTTCACCGTGCTTCCGTGGCTTCGGCCCGCGGCCACCTCCGCTGGAGGGTGGGACCTTGGGAGCCAGCTGCATGGCTGAGCTCTGGCGCATTCTTTCTGTGTTATTCAAGTTATGGTAGTTAGGGTTCACATGAAGTGACTGGTGGCGCTGTCCCTCATGGTAAGGATAGGTATTGATCATGTTTAGCTGTCCTTGGAAATCGTTCAGCTGGGGTAAGGATGCCCTTGGTTGGCCATCTTTGTTTTGCCGAGATGTCTTGAGCTCGGTCAGAGCATCGCCCAATGTGCTCAATTCACTTTCACACTGAGTTGGCCTTGATGGGAGAGTACTGTTGCCGGCAATCTCATTCCTTGCGTCAGGGCGAACCTCCTGTTCCGAATCCCTCTTCTTTTCGATCAACTCCGCAGTCGTACCTGAAGACTGTCCCACTTCAACCTCGTTGGACTGCAGCCTTGCGTCTGACTTCTAGGCATTCCGCAAGACTGGTTCCTGGCCTGGTTGGATTGTTTGGGCAGGTTTGTTTACTTCGGAAACTCCAAGAACCTTAGTGATTGCGCTTTGCATAGGAGCATGGGCCATCGAGTGGCTTGTAGGTCCCTGGGTAATGGGGGTTTCCTTGCTAGAAGAATCTATTTGGGCCTGCGACGTACTTTCATTGTATGCCCCGAAAGAACTAGTTCGACTAGACTGGTATCCCTGACTGAATGCTTTGAATGGTGACACTGAGCTACCGTGCGCAATTACTGGGCCGCGACTAGGCTTCCTGCCTGTAGCGGTGTTGGTATCGGTCCCTGCTACATATCTATCGCTTGTATCATAAGCAGACAGAGACTTGGATCCATAGTAGTGAAGTCCATTCAATTGGACGCACGGCGGCTCGATCCATAATTCTCGAGGGGGTGGCGGGGAGACTGAGGAGTCAGAAGAAGGAAGGCCGCCAGGAGATAGTGTCGGCTTGTCTGCTTTAGAAAATGGTCAGTAGAGCTCTAGAGAGAAAACACGAAGTCACGCACCCAGCCAGTTTTGAAGCGAATTCGTTGAGCAGGCGGTTACCAAGTCTGATGGCATCGGTTGTGGAGATCCCAAGAGCAAGTCTCGACGATAGAATAGAGCATTCTCAAGTAACGGTACCACTTCATCCTCGATGTCCCCAATTGAAGCTCGATCTCTATCGCTGAGAATATCCAAAATTGGACCTTGGCCCTCAGTCCAAGCGATCAACTTAGACTGATTGTCTTCCGCAAGCCAGGCATCCAACCAGTGACCTATGATCACCGCGGTCTCAATCCGCAAATCTTTGAAGATGATCTCGTTCTCATCGATGAGGGTATTCAGGACGTTCCACAGATTGATCGCTCCAGCGTAGTAGAGGTCGTGCGCGTCAAAATACTTCCAGAGATCATCCCAGGACTCAGGCCTTTGCATACGCTTCATCGAAGCCCAGTGGACTTTTCGGACGGAGTTGCAGACCGCCTGTATCTCATCACGGGGCCATAGATGGAGATGGCGATGAGGCAGGACATGATGCATGCGCTTGAACTGATCCTTGCCATTCCGGGTCGAGAATATGGCTTCCGCTGTCGTGGGGGGGTTGATGTAAAAACCGACAGGAAGGTTGTTTTCGACGTATGTTTGGGGAACAACCGACTGATCTCTTTCCGGGCACATTATGTACGTGCGAGGTAGGCCATTCGGGTACCATTGTTTGAAGACCGCCTGCTGCTGACGAGGCTGCTGCTCGGCAAAAACTCGAAACCAAGTCTGCTTGGCCATGCCGGGCAATGGAGGTCCGCCAGGTTCGCGCTGGCAGGCTTCGGTGGCAGTTTCAAATTAAAAGAGATTTGAAAATATGGTAGAAGACGTCTGTATACTTGTTGTTAGTGTTTCTATTCGCCTCGCACCAAACCTCGGTGCCTGCAGAATAGTGAGTTGAAATGGGTCAAAGGGAGCAGAATGAAACCAGGACATGGCCTGGAACAGAGAAATTCTAAAAGCAGCTACACTGAAGACTGACGGAATGCTAGGCTTGGAGGATGAAACAACAAGAAGACTTACTTTAGAAAAACTTTGAGGCTGTGCGAGAATACCCAGGATGCTCCAAAACGATGCCAGGCGAGAGTACTAAGTTATCGCGCAACTCGTGAACTTCGACGACTGTGATATTTCAGGGAGCAGATTCCAGTGCTAGTTGGCGAGGAAATATGTCGGTTGATTTGGGGGCGGCGCAAGATAAATCGAGGGCGAAAAACATTGACACTCTTCCAGTGACACTTGGAGGAGGCAAAAACCGGGTGGCATCGTGTCGCCAGAAAAACGAAAGAACTAGGACCGGAAGCGAGCCGTGACTCAATCTCCCAGGCGGCAAACACTGGCTGAGAGCTGAGGTGAAGGTGAGGAAAAGGTGAGGTTGACAGCTGCTGGCAACGGCGGGCAGCTGAGCAGTAGGAACCAAGGCAGAGTGACTCCCTCAGGTACTTGCCAACTGGAGCAGGTCGTGCTCGCTCCTTCCCCGTCCTTCGCTGCGTCTGCAAAGGCAGGACCACAAAGATCGGGTACCAGCTTGGAGCTGCAGAGTCACCAACGCACATCTCCAAGCCGTCAGGTGTTGGATAGAAAGTAGATCGGCCGTCTTGTCTCCCACGGCTGCCTGGTCATAGCAGTTACTCAACCTCCTCACGACAAACCACTGAGACCAAACAGCAGAGCCAGCGAAATAGTCATCATCAGTATCTACGGGCCGGCGACGGGAAACAAGTGTGCAAAGAAGCATGCAGTTTTCATAAGTAGGTAGGCACAGTGCAGAAACACAAGATTCTGCATATCATATTTCCTTGCTGTGCGACTTATTGGCCGGTGGTCTAAGCGCATTTGCGCACAGCAGGAGAGCAAAGACCGCAGGCCATTGGTGACAGCAAGCCACCCATCAGCACCCGAACGGGACGGTTCTGCAAGAAGCCGAGGGATTCCAACATTAGTTCTAGGGCTAGTTTCTACACGCAGGGTATTCATCTTGCGAGTACCTGAGCAGCTATGCACGCTGTCTGTACGTGCATGTATGATTCAGTCCACTAAGCAACGAAATCACTCCGGTGGACAAAGCTGCCAAGTACCTACTGAGAAGGAGGCCCCAATAGCGAGATATTCCATCATTGTTCATCAGAGCGATTGGTTGCACTTGCAATTTTGATTCTACTGATAAAAATACATTTGTGAGTGGCGGATAGAGCCTGAAACCAGTAGAGGTACGTGGCCGGCACCAGAAGAAACTTCGGGAGGTGAAACACAGCACAAACTATTTCTTAGCGTTGAGGAGCTTCAAAATCTCCGATTCATTGTCTCCGGAAATCGCCTTGCCATTGTTCCAGTCCACAACCTATCATCGTTATCAGTCAAGAGCGGCAAACCACAGCTGCGTACTGCTGTCATGTGAAAACGTACCAACGGCCTGACGAGACTGTCCTTGTTCTGGATATACTTCTTCAATGCATCCTTCTCGTCGTGTGCACCCGTGATGATATTGGGGATCCCGCTCTTGCCCACGTATTCGAGAACGGTCTGGACCTGGTCGGGGGTTGGCTGGTCCTCGGTGATGTTGAGCTCGAACTGCTCCCTCGTCGACTCGCTGGCACCACCAGATGTCGAGGCGGCAGAAGCCTGCTTCAAGAGGTTGGCGACCCGGACAGAGGCAGGCGAGCTCGCCTTGTGAAAGAGCGTGACAATATCGAGGGTTTTGTGCTGGGATGCAGGGTTAGCGCGCTAGCCGAAGCTCGGATATGGGTCTGCAGCAGATGGCAACGTACAAATCGAAACATTGTGAGAGCTAGCAACGGGATGCGTTGCTAATTGACCAGGCTGATAGATACCAAACCAATCTATCGCACGGCCGACGTTGCTTGCCGAGCTCATCCGCTGTAGATTCATGATGACCTAATCAGCCGGCCAAGCTTAAGAGGTGGCCCGTGCGCCCCTCCAGGCCTGCCCTGTAATTGGTTCCTTGCAGTTGGGAGATTCAGGGCAGGCATCTGCAGCACAACCCGCCAGTTCGTACGCGCAGCAGATCACGGGACAGTTCCCAGCGAACTGGGTTGCGCTGCGACTGGGACTGTGATCCTGATAGATTCAGCCCCAGATCCTGCTGCCACACAACCACATGGGTCATCATCTCGGCTACTTCCAATTTCCACTTACTGTTTACCCCCATGCGAATAGCTCGCCACGTATACCACGAGGCCGTTGATCAGTCCTCGTTCATAGCAGCGCAAGGCGACCCATGATCACTCAGGTTTGGTTGGCTGTCTCTCTCGCTTTCACCCCCTCGACCCAACTTCTAGGACTCGCATCACACGTATGAGTGTATATGTACATCTAGGAAACAAACAGTGACTGATTTTTCTGCGCCCGGGGCAGGACGAGCGATGATTTGTGGGTTTGAAAACACATGGCCTCGACTCTCGTACCTGCCGAGAAGGAGCAAGAGGCTCCGTCTAGATCACCAGGGCAAGCGAACTCCCCACCGAGCTGAAGAGCACTCTTCCTCCAGGGTTACATTTGTCAATTTTGTTGATGACCATCATCAATGCCATGGCTCTTGGCCGAGTTCACGCTAGCTGAGCTTACGGTCCAAACCGAAAATAGCCAATCCTCTGGCCGCTACTGAGTTAGCTGCATTTCGCTCCCCTCGACCTCCCCAATCCATACATCGCCCACCGAAAACGCAGGTCTTTAAGCTCCGGTGAGTGGACGCTGCGCCGTTGTGAAACTGCCAACGTGTGGATATGCCCACCATCTTGCCATGCCCGAGTCATGGCCTTGTCTCGATGCGGTTGAAGCGGGTAGCAAAGCCTTCGCTTCCGATTTGACATTACCTGACATGACCTGACATCTCGGTTCAATTTGCTTTTTTTCCCCGTCTGTTGACAGTATGGCTTGCATGCCTGTCAAAATCGAGTCCGCGTGGTCCGCAAGGTTCACATCTTCTGGACCTTGTTCCATGGGTATTAGACTATTAGTACAGAATCCTCTCCGTATCCCTGTCGTATATGTGGTTGGTTGTCTACGTGCATTAAGGGCCAAGGAAGGATCGGATGTACTGGGAGGCAAACCCCATACAATACGACCTTGTATCGATCACCATCTGCAAGATACATGATGATCAATGCTACCCTCTTCCCTTCCCCTTGATTGTTGTTCCGCAACAGCCACACACAGCTGAACAGCCAACCCTTGTTATTCACATTCACCCGGCGATGATGGATGCTACCCAAGGACTGCCTGGTTCGGATTGAAATACAATCCTTCCCCCATCTTAATACCTTGTCCCTCTGTACATTATCGCGAGATGGACAACGAAAACTTGCCCGAGGCGGGCCAGTCCCTCGGCCTCGACAGGCAACTTCAGCAAGGCTTGACCGGCATCACCGTTCTGGCTTTCCTGTCTTTCCTTTCTTCTACCACTCTTTTTCTATATCTCGGCTACAAGATTATATGGCACACGTACTTCAGTTCGCCGTCAATTACGAGATCGCCGTCTCATGATCAGGACCGACCTCAGCAGAATCAGCAGCAAGGGAATTCCTTCCAGCGCAGGGTTGACTTTGCTCTGGGAATCGATGGAGTCTTCAGCGATGACGCCGCCTCCGAGCGAGATCCCAAGACATTCACGAGTGACCGCGACAGCGTGTGCAGCAGAAATGCAACGGCCAACGCAGCCTCATCCGCCGTGAAGGCGCCCAGGAAGAACCCACCTAACCAGTTTCTCATCCTCATCTTCAACCTCCTCCTCGCCGACATGCATCAAGGCGTGGCCTTCTTCACCAACGCAGAATGGCTTCGATACAACGAGATCCGTGTCGGAACCCCAATCTGCTTCGCGCAGGGCCTTTTCGTTTCTCTGGGTGACTTGGCTTCGAGCTGCTTTATTACTACCATTGCCGTACACACATATCTCTCCATTGTAAGGCGATATACGATCCGGCATCGTACTCTATACATCATCTTAGTTGCCATCTGGCTCTTCATCTACGGCATCTCTCTTATCCCCGTGGCAGCCACTCGCAACGGCGCTGATCACGGTGGTTTCTTCGTCCGCGCCGGAGCTTGGGTATGTTCTCCTTCCTCTCCCCTTCCCTCCAGCTATCTCCAAACACTAACAACCTCACCATGTAGTGCTGGATGAACAACCAGTACTCCATCCTCCGCTTCGTCACCCACTACCTGTACATCTTCATCGCCATCGCCGCCACCACAATTCTCTACACCCTTGTCTTCATCTCCATCCGCCGCCAGTCCCGCACCCCGCCCTCCTCCTCCCAGAGCGCCGCCGCCGCCATCCAGGAGCTCAACCTCTCCCACAACCCGGCCTTCCTCATCTACCCGGTCATCTACGTCGTCTGCACCCTGCCCCTCGCCATCGGCCGCATCGCCACCATGGCCCAGACCGACGTGCCCCTCGGCTACATGTGCTTCGCGGGAGCCATGATCGCCTCCAACGGCTTCTTCGACTGCCTCCTCTTCGGCACCACCCGCAACGTCATCGTCTTCGCCAGCAAGACCGACATCGGCCGCTCCAACACAGGGCTCGACACCTTCAACTTCATGCAGACGCCGCGCACCCGCCGCTACGGCAACATGGTCTGGGTCCAGGGCGGCAGCGGCGGCAGGACCGCTGGAGGAGGGAGTAACAGCAGCAGGTACCCGACGGACGCGGGACCCAGCAGCACGATGACGGGTGGGTGGTGGTCGTGGGCGCGCATCGGGGGCGCCGCCGACCGCGCCAGAGGCGTGAACAAGCGCGCCATCTCCGACACGAGGACCGTGAGCGAGGAGTCCCTCAGGGGGCCCGAGGGCGCCGTCATCCAGATGGACACGGTCACCTCTGTCGTCGTCGAGACGGACCAGTACCAGATGCGGGATCACCACTTCTCTGGCCCGTCGGCGAGCATGACGCCCTCCATGACTACTACCAGTAGCATGGACAAGGTGTATCCACGTCACATGTAGAGGCAGGCTTCTTTAAAGTAAAGTATATATGTATCTATGATTGTAATGATATATATGTCCTATAGAGTTTAATATGTATAAGGGGTTGCAGATCCAGGCAACCGCGTGAAAAAAGTGACACACGCTTCGAACACGCTTCGAAGAACGACGTATGGATTACAAAGATTCCATCTAGATTTCTTTTCCTTCATAAGTGATGACCTCGTTATCCCAACAAGCATTCAGGGTATACCCCTTATCCCAAGCCGATTATTCCCCCGCCTAGAATCCAGTTCCGTGGATTCTGATGCGCCATCCCAATGATATAACCCAAACGAATGCTATCTTTTTTTATCTTTCCAAAGATTTTGACAAATGAAAATATCGTAAAGAGACAGTTTGAAGGGATGTGGCTTTCGCCGGCCCCCCCTTTTCATGATAAATGGTTTGGTAAATCGCGACCTGCGCTTCTAGTTCACCTCGCCGACATCGCACACCCTCGTCGTCCCCTCAGCGTCTCCGAGGAAGAGGAGTCTCCCATCGGGGGAGAACGCTAGATCGGTGATCTGAGAAAGGTCGCCGAACTGCTCGATGGACTTGAGGTTGCCCTCGCCCCCGACACACCACACCTCCTCGCCGGTCGTGGCGTCCAGCACCGCGAGCTTGCTCAGCCTGTCCGCAATCTGGCAGTATGCCACGAACCGGCAGTCGGGGGAGATGCACGAGGTCGTGTTGGGGATCGGGTACAACCGCGTCGAGTCCTTGGACATGTCCCACACCAGCACGTATCGGAAGGCCACGTCCACCGGAACCAGCTTGAAGTCAACAGAGCCCGTCATCGTCGAGCCTCTGGCTTCTGAGCGCTGGCTGGCGGGGATCCAGATTGAGACAGCGAGGCTTCCATAAGTATACAGGCTGAACGGGCATGCGTTGTTCAGCTCGCGGTGGTCCCATGGTTTGAGGACCCGGTATGGCTCGTTGGACACCTCGCGATAGTCGTCAATCTCCCAGGCCACAAGCAAGGTCTCGCGGAACGGTGGCGGCCGGCCGGCGCGTGGTGTCCTGGGTCCCGAGGCGGCAACAAGCAGAGGGCTGGTGGGGGAGAGGGCAAGCTCTGGGAACTGCATCGTCGTGGGTAGGTGTGCCTTCTTCAGATCGATCGTGCGAACCTTGGCAAATGGCTTCTTGTCGCGCCTCATAGCCGCATACAGGTCGATCGTTGACGTGTCCCCTCGGTACGCTGCGAAGGGACTCCATCCGTGCTCAAAAGAGTCGTATCTCCCGGACGCCCAACGGTCCACGTCGCTGATTTGCTGGAGCTTCTTGTTCTTGGCCCAATCCCACATCTCGACGGTACGGCCAAACCGGGTAGAGATGGCGACCAATCGATCACGCTCGGACAGAATGGCATGGCTGCGGACAAGGTAGTCGCGTGACCGAGGATGGGCGTCGATGTAGGCGGAGAACTTGACGGCGCCAGTGAGAAGACCAGTTCCAATCGACCAGAATCTAAGCAGGTTCTTGCCGTGCTTCGTCGCGAATGTGGGGCCGGAAGCCGAGGCATCAATGTAGATGATGGAATTCCCCTTGCGCTTCTCAACCCGGAATTGCTGGCGGTGCTTTACCTGTAGTGCGACCTGGTTCTTTGGGCCATCCGCCGTCTGCGGTTCCGCGTCTGGTGATGCAGCATCCAGCACCGGACTCTCTGGGAGGCTGGATTTCGGGCTAGTGGTCTGCGGGCTTCCTCCTTCTGGACTCGTGCAGGCGGTGAGAGGCCGCTCTGTGATGTCTAACGTAGGACTAAAGGGGTTAATGGACAGGACTGATGATCTCGATGGCTCGGTAGTGGTTGTGCCAGAATATTGTGAGAACCGGTCGCATTCGGCAAAGGAGCCACGCTCAGATATGGACAATTGCTGTGACAGGCGCCTTGATGAGCGTGTAGGCGGCGGGAGAGCAGGTAGCGGTTTGGCTGGAGCTGGGAACGGATTAGGCGCAAATGAGGATGTGGATCCGGCAGACGAGGACTGTCTTCGTCTTGACGATGCCACCGAGTTGCGTGCCGGGTTGCGGGGAGGCGGCACGATCCCATGTGACGGTCTGCGTTGCGACGATTCGACAGCGTAGACAAAATAGGCCACATCCTCCTCTGAACACAATGGCCAAGAAGCGACAGACTTGCTCTGGGGCGATATGCCAGGGCTCATGCTTTGCCGGTTTGAGTAGAGTGGGCGCACGGGAGCCGAAGCGGTTGAGCCACGCACATCCTCAGGTACTGGCTCGTGATCGGATTCAAAATCTGTGCTGAGAAACTTTAGAGTGTTCCTTGAGAAGCTGGTTGTCAGTAGGAAGTCGCCATGACAAGCTTGGGCGGCAGCAGGGCCAAAGCTCACTCGATCTCATCCAGAGTCTGCTCCACCAACGGAGAATTCATCTTGTAAATCGAGGGCCGTCGAGCGGCGACGCTTGACCCGTGTGGTAAAAGAATGGACAGATATGAAGGTGAATTAGCCTCTACAGGCCGCGTGATAGGTGATAGGTCACAACCAGTCGACTTCCACCGCCCAGTTACATCAAATGCCTAGCTCCAGCTCCGGGATAGTCGTTGTGTGTTAGTAGTAGATACTCTGGTGCTATCAGATTGTTGTCGTTCGTAGCTGCAGATACAACTCATATGTCGTTCTCGAAGTGTAGCAGGGAGCGGCGAGAATGTGAAGCACAATATGTTGGAGGAGGTGAGAGTGTGTATCAACAAAACCCGAGGATGGGAGGTCTGGTTTACTTGACTAGCACGGGAGCAGTGATCGAGACAGCATTGAGAACCCACCAAAAAAGTGGAGGATAACGTAGGGCCCCCAGCTTCCCGACTTGACTTGGGAGCAGCCGGGCATCTGCAGCAGCAGATCCACAACGGGGCGTGGGTGGGTGTCGAGCTGAGAAGGGTGGTAATGGCGCTCGACCTGGGTGTTTCTCGAAAGTGGTGTGGACCGGCGGCCATCGAATCGCAAAGCTGCAGCCCCCAAGAGACGCAGTCGGCCAGGATACACAAAGCAGGCAGCCAGCAAGAAATGTGTGGATGTGCCCCGCGATTCGAGAGCTCAGAGGGGAAATCCTACCGGGAGGGGGTGTGGCACAGGGGCCCCGGGAAGGGGCGACAGCGCCAGCCCGAGGGATTACAGAGGGCCTCGGCGGCATGAGACAGCGTGGTTGGCCGGGCTGGATGCTGGCCCATGAGGCTCCCTCCACCACCGAGCATCGGGTTGGATGTGCAAACTGAGACGTGGATCAACAGCGACCAAGAGCTGCTGTCGAGACTGGGTAGTCATCCGGCCATCTGACATCTAAGACAGGGAGAACCCTGAAGCACCAGTCTCCGGGGTGGAAACTCGATGGCGCGCGGTCGGGAGAGGGCCGTGACTGGACTGCAGGACACCGCGTGGATATGTTCATGGCATGGAGATGGACGTTGCTGTTCGTCAGGTGAGGTAAATTGCAGCCTAGGACCCCGTTTCCCCCCAGCTGCTATGGGGGGTTGCATCCTCCCTACCTTGCGGCAGGGCTGCGTGAGGGGAAATGAGATGATGCAGTGTATTGCATGTGTTGATTATCGGCTGCAGCTGTCACCAACAAGTGGTGTCACAATTTGCCTGTAGCTTAAGATTAGCTTCGGAAGCGTGGAAAGAAACGGCATCAAGCAAGTGCTAAAAGTTGCGAATTCGTGGTGGCGCAGGATGGTGTCGGCTCAAAAGGCGGCTCAGCCTATTTAGTGGGAGGTCTACGGGCTTCACCGCACTACCAAGCCGGTTCTCCCAGAGGCACTTTGCACTTCTGAGCCCTAGACCGTACACCAACTGGGCGGTATTACAGGCGGCATTCTCCGAATCTGCAGGCATTTTTCAGCCTGGTTCCAGAAGGGGCCATATCAGATGCAGACATCGCCGTACATGAACAGCTAACAGCAGAGAGTGAAATTAATGGGCAGCAAGTAAGAGCGCGCTTATGCCCCTCGCCCGCATTCCCAGTAAACAACATTTCAATACGAGCGACTACTCTACCAACCACCAGCCAGACCTTGCCTGGCTTGAGGGTTTCGAAGCGATGGAGATTTCTGTGGGCTGCCCAGCTTCTGTTGGAACCATTCGCAGTGACTAATCGCGATGTCGCAAAGCACAAAAATCCCCAAAGAGTGGCTCTCTACCCGGTTTTCCTTGGAGGACTGCCAGGATGCTGTAACAAGACCCTGGAGGGGAAGCCAACAGCGGCGGGGGGCCCTGGAATCTACCCGGTCTGTCACGAAGGAGCGTGCACCTCCAACCACATGGCTGAGGCGACTACGAGAAGATGGAAATACAAATAAATCAATCATATCCAAAGATGAACGTGTGAGTCTATTGAGTCTGTTTACATTGAATGATATCATCAGTTTCCATGGCAAGCCACGGCGGGACGTACCCAGAACTTGCCGTCTTTTCAACGGTGAGCTAGCTGGTGCACTAGCGGCAGTGGAGGAAAACGTTGAAGATGCCTTTCTGGGCAAGTAGGTCACTCACTGGCTTTACCGAGGGCACCCCGAGGATAGAATTTACATAACTTTGACTACAGGGACTTGGCGGCTTCCTTTTTCCACCATCTGTCCGGCTCCTCATCCAGTGCCATTTCGTTTCGCCATGGAGGGTATCGAGTGCTAATAAGTTAGACATTCCGGTAGTATTAGCTATAATAGGGCCGGCAGTCTGTAAGACGGCCATGGCAGACTGCTATTGGCGCGAATTCGATAATACGCTGACGGGCCCTTCCAGCCCCCCATGCCGACACAAAGCCAGATGCCGATAAAGGCCAAAGAACGCCGGCAGGCTGGGTGATGGCATGGCAGACAGGGAGCTCCCGCCTGAGACAGCACCTGGAGCACCCAACAGCCTGCCTAACGAGGCATAGCCGTCCAGGCCATTGTTGTTTTACCTTCTTCAGCAACATTACCGCATTTCCACGACGACCACACATTCCTCACTGCCAACAACAGGTGCCCCAAGCTCGACGGACTAACGGGCGATCGATCCAGCGGGAAGAGCGGTGTCGGCGTCATAGTTTGGTTCGCATTGACGAAGGCTTTGTTAGCCGCCCTGCAGCCTGTCCATGCGCATTGTCTCGTGCGCTCACGCGGCCATGAGAAAAGATGATTCAGCGGCACCAAAGGGCATGAACGGCTCTTACATGAACACATGACAGCGCATGCGAACCGACACAGCTACTAGGTAGGCAATGCTCAGCCCTCCCAGCTGACTGACTGCATGAGTGAGCAAACGTTCGCGCATGCCGAGTAAGGCCAAAAGTGCATGCATGGTAAGGCAGCGAGAGACCCGACGCGGCTTTGATCGACCGATACCGTATTCAGTCATGACAATCGACACCAAAGTCGAAAGTAATACTACTATGTATGTATGTAAGACGCAGCAAATTTACCATTTTTCTCCAAGGACATGCTTGCGAGCTGCCCGCAACTAGACTCCCAATCGATTGGGAATGCCTTCATGCAAGAGGGGTCTTTGGCGAATCCTTCACCCAGCCGGTTGGGGCACTCCTAAAGATCGCAGCCGTGCGCGATTCGATTCGCCCGTCATAGGCTTTGCTTTTTCTCGCCTGCCCTACTGCTGTGCCGCGCCTTGTCGCCACGCCTGTTGACACACGGACCCTCCCTCCTCTGCATTGCATTGCATATGCGATGTATCCCTCGGGCTGGCTGCTCTCAGCTGTGCTTACCCAGCCCTTCACCACTGCGACATCATATGCAGTGTCAGGCTAAGCACCGACCCGACCAACCCGCCTCCGAAGGCTTGCCGTGTCAGCAAGGCAGGGCACAGTCGAGTCGGATGCCTTGCATCACACCCGGCACCGCTGCGTATCTGCAGCCAGGAGGCCAGAACCCGAGACAAGGGCTGAGCCACCCGCAATACGGTCCCGGTGCAGACAACAGTAGGTTGAAGAAATCTATGCAGGGCCCACCTGGTTTTCTGCATGTCTTGTCTTTACCGAAACAAGCTCACCCAACAAAGGGACAACTAACCACACCCACCAATTCCCGATCCCTCGCATCGCCGGTGTTGCTCCCCCGGACCAAGGCTGAATCCCACGGAGGGGAGATTCGATATCAACAGTATCGTAGAAATTTGTCAAGTGCTAAGCTGTCCTCTTATCCTCGGACATCCCGCGTTCGTATCTTATCCAGTTACCATTATTGTACAGTTATTCTTCATATCGCTGGGGCGTGGGGGGCGGTATTTCATTTCGTAGGGCCCTAAACAGGGCAAAGTTGGCCACATCGGCGTTTGCCGCATACACTCCAACACACCCAATAACGATCGGCAAGAACGAGGAAGGAAGTCTACGTGGGGGGAGGGGCAAAAAAAGCAAATTTCTTGCAGAAAGAGAGGCTAGGTAAAGAAGACCCTGGGTTCACCACGCAACAGATCGAAAACCCAGAGAACCTGGGTGTCGATCCCGTTAGCGCTCGGGAGCATCTTCAAGAAGCAGCTCTGTCGATTGTCCTTCGAACAACAACCATCTTCAGTGTAGTTTGTTCCGAACCACTTGCCGTTGTAGGGCCATCTTACGAAGTTGGCCGGTGATAGAGCTTGGCAGGGGCAAATCATCGTAGCACCGTTGGCTTGATTACTACGTACATACATGGAGGATTAAAAGCACCTTAGTGTGCCTTTTATGTATGTCATTCTTGCATGACATGCTTGATAAGGGTGTATGATTTGTATGTGCTACTTAGTTGGACCAACGATGCGACGGGCTGCTCCCTTTACACACGGTGCGGCATCGCGGCAGGATATGCAGCTTCAGGGACACCGGAATTATTCGTCTGAGTAATACAAGAGGATGAATGGTTCCCGTAGCTTAGTCGCATCGGCTGGTTATGGGTGAGGTCTCAACCAGGAGCGACAAAGGTTCCAAGGGCCTTCGAATCCATCCGCAAGTGCAGTTTCACCATCCCAGTGTGGATCATGTTGCGTTCTGTGAATCAGAAGGCTGAAATATGGCTCTTCCAGTACACTAATCTAGTGATCTATGGTAGGTTAAGCGAGACATGATCAAGTGTAGATTCCGGATAGTGCCCACTCCAATATGAATCAGTATACGTCAAGACTAAGGTATGGAACGATATTTGGGCCAATAGTTGGAGAGAATATAGAGCAATGGGGAAGAAACAAGAGACTCCTCAAGTTATTCAAGACAGTAGACGATTTTCTGCGAATCATCGAAACGTTCTATAACAAATACCTACATCGCGGTAGATGACTCTAATTCCACAAAGTCATTCTCCCCATCTAGAATCGTTTGACCGACCATAAAGCACAAGCAGTTTAAGGTGTGAATCGTAGAAAGCAGTCATAATTTAACTATCTACCTCAAGTTTCTCTCTTATTTTTTTTCCGATGTACCGCCACAAACAGTACTGTTCATTCCTCGAGTCCCACTACATAACCCTTATTGCCCAGGTCCCCAAAGTAGAGACTTAGAGGGAGGTTGAAAGCCATACGTCCGTGTGCAAAACAAGATCTGTGGCGGAACCCCGTTTCGAAAGTGAAGATTGCGGATAGTCAAAAGCCGCTGTATTGTTTATGGAGAAGGGGGAATGTCTCCGTAGAAAGTGCAGACACCAGGGCGGCCCTCGAGGATCACGCACTTCTGGCCATCGTATTCGCAGTCGGCGTCAGTCTTGCAAGCAGCAGCGGAGGCCAGGGCGGCGAATCCGAGAGCGGCGAGGATGATTTGCTTGAAGGCGAGCATTATGGCGATTGGTAGAGGTAATGGGCTGCTATGAAGTTCTGAGAAGATTTTGAGTGATGAGTGTAGCGAGGAGAGTAGTCCGACTGTGACGAGTTCCGATAGTTTTATACTTTGGTCAATTGCCAAGAGGTTACGGTTAAATTGTCCGGATTTCTGAAGTAGCATGTGGTTGTCTACATGAAACTCGGCGACTTCTCTATCCGTGATGGCCGATCACCTCGTATCCTTCTGAACGTTCAGCTGCACTTTGACCGCAACTATATCTGCAGTCGCCTTCCTTTCAATGGCACGCTGCCAAACTTAGATAGGCCACGGGCACTTCCAAACCTATCATCATGCTGCAGCTGTGCCGGTTAAGAAGCCAGTCTACACCGCATCTACTGCAAGAGGTTTAATTAGCATGGCCAAAAGATCCTAACGCCTGAGGCCTCCTGCCTTCTTGAGCCGCTTCCAAGTAATTGCATTGAACAGAAGAAAAGAGAAAGTTCCAAGAGGATGACTATCCAAGACAGTTGATCAGCAGCGTCTACTCAAAACATGGGCCTTGCTTACAAGATCTATCAACATCGCTTCAAGTCTTTTCTCGAAGTTAGCAAATTGTACCTTGGGTCAAATCTGCCGCGGACTATCATAGTTGAAGTCAGGAAAAGTGTATGCCGATGTTGCAATTTCCCACGCGGATGATACGATAAGTTGCCTTGGACCAATCCTTAGTCTACCTAAGCAGCCCTGCCTAGACATCCTGTGACAGCTACAGGGCATTGTCCAAAACCATTCCTCAACTCCTTCCAGCCTTGGCATTTGGAAACCTAGCAGGGGCACAGTAGGCCAGCCTGGTTAAGTTAAAGCGTGAGTGTCACAGGGCCGGCTGACACCCACTTTTCGCAACACAGCCAGAGAGTACTTGTCATTATAAGAGTCGGCGATAGAGCTGAGCATACCTGGTGTTGTAGGCACAAAATTTCAGTTGCATAGCAAGGGGATGCTCGTCGTCTGAGGCTCCGAGCGAATCCCAAATCAGACCTTCCAAACGAATGGCGAACTTGCTCCTTGCCTTGATGAGAACATCTCACCCAACTGGGCCTAGATTATCATGAAAATGAGAAACAAATGAGGATTAAGAACGAGCCGTATGTAGGAATCATAAGACATGATAATTTCTTTTCATGAGATAGGCATGGCGGTCCAATTCGTGCATGAAGTGATCAATTGAAGAAGGTATATGTACTTTGGGATGTGGACTGTATTAGTTCGAAACTTGGTAGAACATCCAAGACAAATTCCATCTTGGATTTTTAATTACTAGATCTTGTCAACCTTTAATACCATAAAGCATAATCAACTCTTCTCTTTTGATGGTTCTAGCAAGATTCTAGAGAACCGTCTATCTCCTCTTTCGTTACATCTCTTTTCCTCTCTTTTTTCCTGAAGCTTGACATCTTTCTATCCGATTGCGAAATAACTCAGCAGAGTTCTATTGACAAGCAGGCTCTCCGGATGGCCGGGACTAACATGCCTTTCTGAGGCAGTGGACTCTGTATTAAGTCCTTTAGAAGATGTTTCCCTTGGATTGACCTTGCTCCTGCTGTCTTGAACGCAGGTTCTTGTTCTTCCAGACAAGAATGGAAATCAACATAAGAGGCAAGAAGCAAGAGCCCACAATGACCATCTTGCGCTGAACGTCATCAAACGCAGCGATGATAGCGTCTCGGATGGGGCTACCCATAGGGTATGACAGCTGGACCGTAATGTCGCCATAAATCTCAGCCATCAGGTCCTTGCTACCCTCGGGAAGCTCAGCGGTCAACTTCTCAGGAACAATGTTCGTCCACAAAGCACCGGCAATTGTGTTTCCAACAGCAGCGCCAATGGAACCGAAGAGACCCCACATGGCGACGGCGACGGCAACTTCCTGGTGCTTGACCGAGGACATGATGGCAATCTCGGCTGTGAGGGCCCAGATGCCAGAGCCGATTCCGTTGAACAGCTGACACATGACAAGGTAGCCAACTTCAGTCTCGGGGCGTCGGAAGTGGATAAGAAGGGCGGTGCCGAGAGTCATGAAGGGAATACCTGCGATTGAGGTCCATTTGTATTCGTTCGTGTAGCGGATAAGACTGGTCGAATTGTCAGTTGTCAACCCTCGGATGGGCTTGAAAAAGCTTCTAATGGTTTAACTTACAGTCCAACAAAGGGCGCAATGAATGCTGATGCAAGAGAGAGACAGTTCAGAACGTAGTTCGAAATCGTGATACTCTCGTCATGAACAACCTGGAGGTAGGTTGAGTAGTAGGCGTCCCAAACGCTAAGAGATTTAAGTTAGCAAGCCGTGACACTTTTCGCCTCCCTCTCTTTAAAGGATGTCTTACAAGATAGACAGAAACATGAAGCCGTAAAGGAAGCAGGAGCCCAAAACTGTACGGTCCTTGAGATACTTCCAAGGGAAGTAGGGAACCCTGGCGAAATACTTCTCCCAAAGCCCAAATGCAACCAACAGAACGACACCAAGGACGATCATGGCAATGATATATCCTGAAGACCATCCGTCAGGTGCAATGCTGGCAATACTGAAAGGAAGCAGCAACAAAGACCATCCTGCGGTCGTGAGGAGCAGGCCCACGGCTGTAACAGATGTGAGTAATTAGTAAAACGACCAAGGCAGTTCAATGAGTCCTGGGTTCAAGTTTGAGGCACGTACCATCGAATTCCCAGAAGTAGTGTTCGGTGCTCTGCCACCATGTGCGGCCGGACTTCTCCTTCTTTATCACGCCCAGCTTCAGGGCCTTGCGCTGGTTCAGCCAGAAGATGATGACGATGGGTATGGCGAAGACGACCATGATGATTGTAAAGGCACCGAATGCCCAACGGAAGTTGACCTCATCATAGAACAACTGCGCAATGACTGGACCAGCGAAGACACTGGCAATGATGGGCGTCTGGTTGATACCAAACATAATCATACGGTTCTGCAGGGTTGTCATATCTGCCAATACGACCGAGATGATATAACCAACGCCGATATGCCCTACCCAGTAGATCGTTTGCGCCGCTGCGTACATCTCCACAGATGTACAGGTTGCTTTGAGGATCATGCCGAGGACTACGAGGAAGATCATGATGGTGAAGCCCTCAACTCGGCCCCAGATGTCGATGATCTTGGCGATTGTGAGTTGGCAGACGCCACCCACGATGTTGGCGACAATGCTCGTGGTAGCCAACAAACTGTGTTGCGAGAAGGACGATGTAACGTAAGGAGTCAGAGCTCCTTGGACGGACTGGAGGAGAGCGTCGACGAAGCTCACAAGGTAGAGGCTTTATTTAAAATGATTAGCATATATCCCGGGTAAGGTTCCTGGCAGGGTAGTCTTTCTCCTCAAACATACAAGACAAAAGCAGTCCAAAGCATGCGGGTACTCCAGACGGTAGTGATGGCTTCAACCTGTGCCACACCCTCCTGCTTCACCTCGGAGCCATCTGAGTCGTTGATGTCGGCCGCCAGCTGCTCGCGCTTCTCAGTGTCATGCTCACTGCCTGCATCAACAGCAGCACCAGCATGCTGGTCGCGATCGATTTCAGTAACGCCCATTGTCGGCAACGTTGAATTGAAACAACATAGGCCAAGGTGTTCCCAGAGCAAAGGGAGCAAGAACTTGAGAGCTGACAGGTACCAAGCCGTGTCTCACAACAGGCGACCCGCGGATTAATAACTACTCGGCTTCTCGGAAACGGGGAGAGGGTTGGAGGGTAATAATGGACCCCCATGTTGGCTGCCGCCTGGGAGAAGCGTATTGCATCACATCAAATCTTGCCTCGTGCCTCTCATCGCCATTGGCGAGAAGGGTAGGACAATCCAGATCGAGACTCCAGGGTCCCCGAACTAGGCGGATAATCCCTCATCATCCCAAGATTCGAGGGTCAAGCTATGAGCACTAAGTGATAGCCGTGGAGCATGGCGATGAAGATCTTTGCGGCGAGCGTGCCTAGTTGGGTTATCTGATGGATCTGATAAAGCAGCTGGGTGTGGACTCGGCTTCACGGCACTGGGGCTGTTCGGATAATCGGCAGCAGAAGCACCAGCTACCAGCTAGCAACTGCCGTCAAAGCCTGATGTAGTAAACCAATCCCATCAAAAGCAAAGGGGAGGTAATTGGGGGCGTTTGACTGGTGGGTGTGTTTCAGGGAAAACCTCTCGCCTGACATCGTCGCTCGACACTAATTGTCTCTACCAGACTCAATGCAGCTTAGCAGCCAGAGCAGCAATAAGGAAACAACCTAAGCTTAACAGACCCGTTCTGGAGACATCAATGGATAGTGCTGCAAAATCAGATGTCGCGGCTGATCGGCAAGGCTGGGCTCCAACCCAAGTTATTTTCTTTTCTGATCTTCAGTGCCAGTCCCGGTCTTAGAGACGGAACATTCCGTTGAATGGTCATCACTCTGCACAAGACCTCTCCCACATATCCATTACCTCCGGCCATCCATTCCTCTGCATTAGCCCACCCGATGCATGGCGATCTTGTTGAGTGTGAGTGCGCTGATTATCAGATCAGATTATCAATCTGATAATCAGTTGGTGCGCCACACCAACACTCTAGGCCCAAGCTTTGGCGTCAGCCTTCCTTCTTATTCCGATGACCCAAGGATAATCGGACGTATGGGAAATCTGAGATCAGACAAAATCTTCTTCGTCTCCGTCATCGGATCTGCTGGCGTAGACATCATCCAGAAACTAGGAGAAGGTGGCGCAAAATGCGAAATGACCACACAACCAACATCATACATCAGGTAAAACATTTTCATTCGATCACCGCCTTCACATTTATGATTCCATAAAGCTCCCTTGTCGTCTGTGTCCAATCAAAAAGAAATGAACCGCCAAAGTCCCCTGTGTAGCCGTGTAGCTTTCCAACAAAACAGAGACCCAGACCGGAACTATATCTAGGAAATCGAGAACATCAGAATGCATGAGACCGTCATCCAATCTCCACTGGTGCGTATGTCACCTCGCTCCACATGGTCTGAATAGTTGGAAACGAAGAGCAGCCGGTCCCTCACTTGCTTCCCAGTACTAGGTAGAATCCAGCGCAAGCACATGCCGTGTGGACAAAATCTGTGTTAAATATCTCCTAAGGAATATTTCAGCACCCATTCGGAAATCGTAGGTAGGTGGTCGAAGCCACTGTAGCGGATTCCTCAATCCATATCAAGTGAGCGACAGAAAAAATAAGACACCTAATGGAAGAGTTAGTTATAAACAGAGTACTTTCTGCAATTAATAGAGGAATTTGGTATTACATATAAAATATAAAATGGAATAAAGTGACAATACCCGCTATATTGTCTCTGAGGTATCCATTATTGGCACTCAACGTCTGACAATACCGGTTGCAGACTCGAAAATAAGCAGCTTGATGTTTGGCTTGTGGCGGCCTCCAGACCCATAACCAATTGGTTGAAGCCGTCCTCGTGGGCTTTGGGCGACCAACACCCTTCCTCGTGGGCTTTGGGCGACCAGCACCCTTCCTCGTGGGCTTTGGGCGACCTGCACCCTTCCCCGTGGGCTTTGGGCGACCTGCACCCTTCCTCGACTTCTTTGGTGCACTTCCGGAGAAGTGAACCAAGCTCCTGGGGTGCCTTGGCGTGCAGGGCTTGAAGATCTCGGATCTTCTCCTATTTATAGGCATCGATGCCCTTGTTGCTCATTTCCTTGGTGGGCGTATCGAGGCTCTCTTGCCTCAATGTTTCTGGTGCCTGTGATATGGTATTACTTTCGCATCCCTTGGGTGTATCGTCTGCCATGGTGGATGGGGATTTAATGGCCAAGGTAGCCTGGGAAGGCTTATCCTATTGTTCGCCACGGAACGGGGAATAAAGAGGTACATTTCATGGAGGTGGGTAGAACCTTCTTGGTTTTCCAGAGGAGTATTAGGTACTCCGATGAAATTGAGATAGGATTACTCGTGTCGGATATGGCGGATGACTGGGACGAAGCAATGCCTGGTGAATGACCTGGACCTCGTCAAGGTCTGAGCTAAACGCCCACATCATATCTCTCTAGGATTATATTAGCAACGCTTGCCTCGTTCTTTCAAATGCGATGCAGCCTTACCAATTCCTCGTATGGTGTCGCGCGCCAGTGCATAGAGATGCACTGGTGCTGAGTTTCACCGAGGGAAGGGGATGAACGCGCTCAGATGATTTCTTGTCTTCTTCGAAGAAGAAGCGTGGGGCAGAAGGCGGAGCTGCGGGAGGCAGGGGCGAAGGGCGCGCGACAGGCCGGGAAGGAGCAAACGCAGTGTTGATGTCTGGTGCATCACCATGTCGACGGTCCCTCTACTAGAGGTCTCCGATCTGACGATGCGCGTCGCGAGCCTGAGTAGCGCCCGAAGCAAGATCAAGGCGTCGCTGCATAGCCGCAGAACCATGAAAAAGGCTTCGCTGAGTGCGACCGAACAGGTTGGGGGCGGATGCCGCTATGGCTGCGGAAGAACGGGGTGTTTGTCGTCGGCCACCGCGAGTAGGCGTGGTGATTTCATCGAGGAGTCGTAGACCTTCTTCCTTCGAAGAAGAAAGCGTTGTTGCGGCGAGGGGGGAGATCTTAGACTGTAGAAATATATATTCTTACGATCTGGTTGGGCTTTTCTGCGTCGCTGGGAGTGATGCTGGTGAACGAGTTGTTGGGTCAAGGAAACTCTTCAGGTGAACGTGGGAGGTTCTCTTCAGATAAACATGTAGCAAGTCTTCATGAAGACAGAGAGACCAATTTCTGCGTCGGATCGGCTACAGTTGTCAATCGCCATCCACTTACCCACGTCACGTCAGCAACGCAGCTACTCTAACTTTACTCACCTACCTTTGCTTATATTGGCTATTATTCTATTGGAATGGTAAGCGATTTAGTGTCATCGTCTACAAGTTTATAATGTCTGTCATGCTCGCTTTGCTATATATCATATGTCAGGTTGTCGCCCTTGATGTTCAGCCGTGAAAGATCCACCATCGCAGATACAATGGTTAAAAGAAGCAATCATCATCTATCTACTATGGAAAATACACATTAGACAGCAAATGGGAGAGTTTATGCCTCAAAGAACAGTTACCAGTCCTCATATTCTAGCTTTCCCGGTGCTTCTGGCCGGCAGACATATCCCATCTTGATAACCGCTCGCCACATGTATTCCTTCTGGACTCCAAATCCTACTCTCCATCATCCCTCTCCCAGCATTAACCCGAGGCCAATATACCTCTTGAATCCACCATCCGCCCCCTCGCATAACCGCCTCCTCTGCGTTCACATGGACGTAGAATGAGTAACTCAAACTTGCAATTGGGCCCATGTTATAGCCATATCCAAGGTGATTCCCCAGCATGATGAATCCATTACGATCCGCTTCATAGGCATGGCAAGTGATATGTGCGTTGACATCCTCTGCTGGCAGGGGCTTGTAGAGACGGTATAAGATAAGCTGTCGACGATCAGAAAGAGCTTTGTCCTTGTTAAATTCCGTCATGTCAACTTTGTACATGTCAAGAATCGGAAAGCTGACATGGCCTTTGACGGGGAAAGTCTCGCGTAGCAGATCAACGTCAGCCTGGGGGCTCGCTTCCCATTCGTCCGGTGCTCGAGACTCTAGGATGCTTGCGAATCGGTTTTGCGGAGGTGTTTCGTCTTGAACATCTGACGGACCAGTAAGGGGTCGCTTGAACGTAGTGACGCAGGTGAAGCAGACATCTCCCAGTGGGAGCTGGGCATCCGACGGGGGATAGGGCCCGTTCGGGATGCCTGAGGGCTCCTTGGGTTGCCTCACATTGATTGTGTGAGTTGAGAATGAGCGACTAGAGGAAACTTTGGCGACTTCATAGATGAATGGGCGATCTATGAAGCCGGGGTTGGTGAAAACACCATGGATAGACTAGAAGATATGTGCTCAGATTAGCCCCTATTCACCTTAAAATTCTGGGATTAGCTGTTCTCGTACGTGAATACCCAGTCTATCTTTTGCTGGTGTCTGAACGTCATCTTTTTCCACGGCCCTGGAAGCTGCCAGTGGTGCTTGGGCAAACACATGCCCTCCGAACGCCCCACGACCAAAGAACTTCTTCTCGTCGGAGCTCCCTCTCATTGATTCCCAAGGAGCATTCTTGCCAGGGTACCAAGCTGGCTGGCGACTCATCATTGTTTGTTTGCCACTTTTCGCGTTCTCGTCAAGCCAGAGGAGTTCCATACTTTCCTGGTATGACAACCGGGTGTGCTCCACTGGTTCGTCCATCTTGTCGCGAGGCATCACAAGCGCGTCACTCAAAGCCGGTTGTGCGATTCTTTCTTTGGGTACCTATGTGAAAGGCCGATTTGTCAAAGGGTCCGCAACGATAAATGCTCTGGGAAACCAGTATTTATCATATCTGACGATGAAGCTACTGGTACCTCGGCACGGTGTAAGTCAAATGATCTAGAATGCGAGATCTAGTGTGGAGAAAAAACACGCAAATGCGGTCAGAAACGAATTAAATATCATAAATCAAATCCCAGCTAGCTTCCAGTGAAAGGATTCGGCAGGTAGGTACCTAGATTCTGCCAAGAAGTTGCAGCCGGTCAGCACTCAGCGTTATTATTACCGGCTGGCTGCCCCCCAGACGCTATAAGCCGAGGCGTTAATAACGGTCCCTGGCTGCTTGTGAATCGCTCCAAAATCCGCATTAGTCAGCGCACTCACTTACAGCTTCACCCGCCGTGCTACCTCAGGCGAGGAATTAAAGCAGTGTATCTACCGGCGAACAGCCACTAGAATCATCTAGTCTTCTCTCCCGAACATTCAGAAAGACCGTCTCACACTCTCTCCATATTTTCTCTCGTCTTGCCTCAGTTCACATGGGAATTTCCTCATTTCTTTCTTTCCCTTCTTTTTTTTTTACCTGCATTTTCCTTCTTCAGCTGAGGCCAGGCGAAAGAAGGCACTCTCCACGGGCAAACGCGCTCTCACCAAAACAACACCACACAGCTACCACCTTCTCCACCATAAGACACGGTGAACAGTGATCAATAATACTATATACTGATCACAGAAAATACAACTTGACAATTCTAACTATTCTCACCTTTAAAATAAATCCTCACCTTGCAATATTTCTCCAAAGATTCCCCCATCTATCAATTACATTTTAGCCCCGCCCTAGTAGGTCCAAGTCCCTTTGCATCTATTTTCTCGCTTTCACAAAGCGTAGCTTCCTGCTCTTTTCTCTATTTCCATCTAATTCTAACGGGTTTAGCAGTACTGGAACGTTTCGCTTTGCGCAAACATCATGAGTCGTCCATCTCAAGATCGCTCAAGCTCAACCCCAGATGAGGACGAGAGCGCACAATCACCCGCCGGGACTGACCATGAGAAAATGATGGCTCTCCTCAGTACACCATGGCACGCCGTGTACCAACTCAGTGAGGACGGTTCGACATATCTCAGACCATCGTTTCTTCGAGGAGTGCCTGTGCAGAAAATTAATGAATCTTCTGACTATTGGGATGGCAACTGGACTTCTCTCGACGCATACATAGCCCGGGAGGAAGAGGAGGAGCGCCTCAAAGCCGAGTTTAAGGCTAGAAAAGACATCAATCCCAGCAAAGCCCACTTGGTCGGCCACAAGTTGCATTCTGACAACGTGAGCAAACAAAGGAAGATCAGGGAGATGTTCGGGGGTAACGCCATACCGCACCCCAACCAGTTGGTCTCCAAGCACCACCTGCCCTATGAGGGCCTATGTGAGCAAGAACTCATGTATAAAATTGGCTGCAAGTTATCTGATCTCGAGTTCTTGAAGTCGCGACAGAAACTCACGATGGAACCCTGGGACTTTTTTCGATGGAGAGTCGGCGTTACCATGGAGAAGAAGATTCTGATCCCAGGTCGAAGCGGACGTGACCACATCAAGAGCGTCGTTCAACGCATTAGCAGTGAGAATAGCGACGATCCTCTGTTCCGAAAGGCAGTTGAGTACTCTGCAGGGCTCCAGAACCACAAAGGACGTTATGGTCCTAAGAAGAAGCCTGCAAGACCCTACAAGATCATGGGGAAAATCCAAAAAGGTACGACACCACAGGGGTACCGGCCAACCGCACCGAGGGCTTCTGTGAGCGTGGGACGAGCCCGTCCCTCAGCAAAAGATGTCTTGAGAGAGCGCCAAGAGAGGCGCGCCCGTCTTCAAGAGCAATATCAATCACAGAGTACCTACCAAGGTGTGAACGAGCGACGAAGGCAAAAGGCTCTGAATCAGTCGGCAAATGCAGCGCCCGAATGATGCGACAGCGCTCCATTCTTGAAGCTTCACTTGAGCGATGGGTCCAAAAAGCCCTTCGAATATTTGAGCATATGACTTGTTTTGTTGGTTTGATTTGAATTACATGCCTTTCATTTCCCCCGATACCCCCAGTTCGTTGAAATGCATTGTCATCAAGAATACCAGGATGACCCGAGAAGCTACACGTCGCATTTCAAACGAAAGTAATGAGCATGGAGAGCTTTTATGCGAGGAGTTTGGGCGAGATCATTATGAACTTTACAAGGTAGCATCACAGGTAGCATCGCAGGTAGCTACAAGCAATCAAGGACCCTTGTTTCTCACTGGTGGGTGCCAAGCCGTTCCACTGGTCCGTGAGATCGTAGAATGAGATCCACTCCGAGGTTCGATACTTACGGACGTAAAAGTCACCTGTTTTAGATGGTTCATCATTGGCTAACCAATGAGCAACTACAAAAATATCAATGGCCGGCTACCAAGAACGATAGAAAGATCCCTGCTGATAAAGATTGCTGGGCAGCAGCTTCTGCTCCTAATTTTTCCGAAACTTGTGAATGGTTGCGGCTCAGAATAGTATGGATTCCCGCTCCAGGTCCTTGGTTGTCCTCTGTCCGCCCAGAGGGACATCGTTCGACGGCATCTTCTTATAAAACACAGCAGATGCTTGGCCGATTCAGTTTCACCAAGTGTACAGTGAAACCCCAAGCTCCATTGCGACGTAGAAACTCACCTCTGTAGCTGCCAGTGGCGGGGAGGTGCTTAGATCAGCGACAATGCTACACTGGTAACAACGGCTCTGTGCAATTGGAGTAAAATTAGATGCATGCCAAAATGCAAAAGAATTCAATTGGACTTTCCAATAGACGACCTTCATGAGAAATGACCTCATTCTCGCTGAGATACGGAGGTCAGGAAGCTCAAAAGGCACATTCTAATCACGTGACTGGATAATCAACGCTGCCATTGGTCAATTCACTACCGAAAGCTGGACCTGTCATTCAAGGTCAGCCTAAATCAGCCCACCCTCACAAATCCCTCGACAACATTCCGTCAACACCAAACCTCCCGACTTCACACCAGAATCGAGAACAGCCACGATGTCGATGTTCGTCCAACGCTCTGCTGCCCTTGTGGCCCGCCGCGCCGTCATCGCTCCCCGCATTGCCGCCCGCACCTTCGCCACCTCCATCGTCCGCTGTATGTGATTTCTTGCCGAGCCGAAAACCTATCCGCAAGGCCCACCAAGACTGACGCATTGTGCTTGCAGGCGAAGCCCCCAAGGACACCAAGGTCGCCAACTACAAGACCTTGAAGGGTATGTTCCGCGCCACCAAATTGCCAACCGACCAGCTCGAGACAACTGGATTTGGGACGAGAAGGAGAGGAAGCTGACGTCAATTGCAGAGGTCAAGGGCGAGGACGACCTCTACGGTCCCGGTGCCCAGCCCGGTACCGTCCCCACCGATCTCGAGCAGGCCACCGGTCTCGAGCGTCTCGAGATTCTCGGTAAGATGGAGGGCGTCGATGTTTTCGACATGAAGCCCCTCGACGCCAGCCGGCTGGGCACACTGCAGGATCCCATCCTCGTCCGCTCCGCCGGTGAGGAGCAGTTCGCCGGTTGCACTGGCTTCCCCGTCGACTCCCACACCACCCTGTGGCTCCGCGTAAGTAACCAGCTCACGCACAGGCTCTGAACCAAAATCCCCGGGCGCCCGGCTAACACTGGATTTCCGCAGCTCACCAAGGACCGCCCTCTCGAGCGATGCCCCGAGTGCGGCAGCGTCTACAAGATGGACTACGTCGGTGCCGAGCACGACGACCACCACCACCACGGCCACCAAGAGGTCGAGGAGCCCAAGACCTTCGCCGACTTCATCAAGCCCGAGTACCGCTACCAATAAAAAACTACATTTACACCCACGGTTTTGGTCGAGAAAGAGACGGAGACTCGTGTACTAAATAGGGGGCGGCGTACATTACACGGGGGGAGCGAAGCGATTCCACTTGAGGTGTGGTCTGTAGATTACGGTGACTCTTTTCATTTGTCAATTTACCTCAGTTTTGAGAACCCGGCGACGTCTTGTCCAGATTAAGGATAACGTCATAAATGCGCGTTGACATGAATGTGATTGAGAATGGTAGTAAATGAGGGCACATCTATATAATTTTACCCAAACATCACTAAACTTGCTTCTCCCTCGTTTTCGAGCCATTGGACAAAATGCTGCTTGCCATAGAAATAAGACGGCTCGCTCCGACTCAAGTTGTAATGTGGGCAAGCAAAACTGCCACCGTCCCTCAATAGAGAAGGGTTTCCGGGCTGCATTCAGACGATTCTTTGTAAACCGCGGTTGTATTGGGAAGGCAGGTCCCTCGGAGGCGGCTTACCGGCTGGCTGGGACATGCAGACCGGCTTGTTTATGTCGGGAGAGCACAATACCCGTTCAATGGCGAGCTGTCATGTCCCAGAAGGCTTTGTGATGTCGTATGGAGTCCCACGTTTTCATCCATCTTCCTCCTCATCAAAACTCAGCTTGATCTTCTTGACCTTCTTCTTTGGCTTCTTCTCTTTGGGCGGATCATCAGGCTCCTTGTTGGTTTGTTTCTGGTCCTTTTTGCCTTGGGCGTCATCCGCTTGAGCTGCAGCCTCGCCAATGACCTTGCCAACCTTTCGCTTCCGACCTCCTATGGTCGACGTCTTAGCCCCATCCCCTTCCTTCTTGGCGCTGGCATCTGCCTTCACGTCGTCGTCTCCTTCCTTGCCATCAACCTCCTTAACTGTCCCATCCTTGTCAATCTCGACGCTCATCACGTTTCCCTCCTCGTCAACCACGACAGGGCCATCCTCTGCCTCCTCACTTGCACTGCGCTTCTTCCCGAGCTGCCTATTACCGATTGAGGGCTTCCGCGCCTCATCGTCGCCAGCAGTCTGGCGGCGCAGAGCAGCGAGGAAGGGCGGCAGTGAGTTGTCATAGGACAAGTTCTTGGATGTGATCTTTTGCGACATCTCCAAGCTTGCCTCCCTTCGAGACGGGCGTAGAGGCCCTGTATAGGAAGTAATCAGAGCCTTTAGTATTGGCCCTATGAGAGCCAGGTCGTTTTGCTTGGGGGTGGAAATGTTGGCTTAAGGTGTGGTACTAAAGTACCTGGGAAGAACGATACTTTGCCTCTGCCCGAGGGAGCGGCCAATCAGATCGGCAGTGGGGTGAGCAGCCGCGACATATAGGTACATGTACCGGCTGTACAGAACGGCCGTGGGGACGATGTAACGCCATCATCTTTAAGAAAACTCAGAACTGACTCGAGGGCCAATTGCTACGAGAATGCCATGCTCAAGAATTTTGAGAGTATTGATTTGTGCCATAGAACTCAAAAGTTTCCATTGAGGCCCTTTCTCAGCGTCCATACTACATAACAGGATGAAAGGACAAGAGTACCCCTGGCCAAATATTAGAAGAACTGCAGACAGTTAAAACAATCATGGTTGCATCGGTAAGGTATGGTACGTATTATCGAGCTAGCATAACGGCATCTAGAACGCCAAGTCACTGAAGGGTCGAATCTGCCTCCCCCAGTGGGAAAAGATTGGGGGAGCAAGATGATCCAGTGGGGCTCATTCCCCCGAGGAATCTCTGGTTTGTTCACATTCTAATCTTATCCGTTGGCCTTGCCAGGCGTGACTCGACAGAAATTGTTTCAGTTTGGTGTGAACAGCACCCTCGAGCCTCGTTCAGATGGCTTTTACCAGTACAACCTCGTGCCGCGAGAGAGTGAGAACACAGAGTCTTTGACTTTTCCCGGGCGGCGTTTACTAGCCCGATGTAGTACCCGGGCCGTTTTTCGTTGAGACGGACGACACCCTCAGGGCGATATGCTCATACGCGTATGTGCAACGTGTTCCGACCAACTAAAGCCAAAATAAGGTGTGGTATGTACCAATGTAATTATGTACGTATATCTCGATCAGCGAGCCCACTGCTTTTACATTAGGTAGGTAGCGTCTTAAAATATGGGTGTGTAGGATATGGATCCCTGGAAATTTTGCTTAACAAGCATTGATGAACGAAGTGCAGGGCAGCGCTGTGGATGGCTCAGAATGCACCCGCTGGCCCTCCAACTTGCGCGGTCGCTGCTGCCCAGCGTCAGAACGATGCATTGAGCATCAGTCTCAAGGCTGACGCTGTCTTGCCTGTATTCAAGCATCCCGTAGCCCTCGTCTTGCTGTTAATTCCATTCCTCGATTCATCTCATTCCATCGCGGAACTGCATTAACTGCCGTCCCATCTTTAATCATCAATCCCCTGTACTTGTCATTTTTAGCAGTGGCCCCCTTTACTGGCAGCGCTATTGGCCTGTTTCACCCGCCGCAGCGCCCCCGAATCGAAAACCTGCCTAGCCAAATACCCTGCAGGTTAGCAACCTTCAATCCTCATCTCCATCACCACCACCAAACTCTTCATTTCGCCGGTTTGGTCGTCGTCGCGATTTATTCTTGTTTCTTCTAGGACTAGATCGACTGTGTCCCTGCCGCTCGTTAATACAGGCACGGTCTCGCATCTTGTCCCTGCCGCCGCCCTCTGTCGGATTCGAGCAGACCGGCCTTGCTTTCAAAGTCGCCGGGGGTGCATTCCACGATTATCCAGGGGCTTGCTCCCACCGTTTTCTCGCAACACATGTATTGTGTCTTGCATCACCGCCTAATATCCCTTTGCGCCCCTTCTCTAGAGTCTCGCTACCGATCCGACTCTGATCGCCCCTAACACCCAACATACCCCTTATCGATCGACCCTCCGATACTAGAAATCTTTTGCCGTCGTCGCCTACGACTGCCAAACGGCGGATCATCAGTCGCGGAGAATGGATCTTTTTCGAAGAACCACCAAGTCGGTGTCAGGCCAACTCTCCCCGACTCTTCCCAGACATGGCGAGAAGAGGGAACCCCAGAGGCCAAAGGGATTGGCCTCGCGCCTCGCCTTCTTCAGAAGACCGCTTCGCATACGTGGCAACTCATCCATATCCGTCCCCCTAGGAGTCGTCATCGTCTTCCCAATCCTCGTAGTCGTTCTTATTCTCGTCCTGTTCGTCAGGCATCCATCGTCCCCTGCTAGGATACTGGTCCCCGCAGGTGCGCCGCCTGCTATAAGGTACGCTTTCTATCCACGCGACACATGTCCCAATTGGATATGCCCTGCTAACGATGTATGCATGTAGAAAAATCAGCGAAAAGCACGACAAGGTCTTCGTCACCGGCTGTCTCGAGCCCGATACCAGCCAGCCCCGAGCCAATGCCGCATTTGTTATCCTCGCACGAAACAAGGAGTTGGACGGTGTTCTCCAATCGATGAAGTCGGTGGAGCGCCACTTCAACCGGTGGTATCACTACCCCTACGTCTTCCTCAATGATGGGGAATTCAACGAGACGTTCAAGGAGACGGTACAGAAATACGCCTCGTCTACTGTTGAATTTGGAAAGGTCGGCCCTGACATGTGGGGATACCCTGACTGGGTTGATGAGAAGGTTGCCAAGGAAGGCATTGCCAAGCAGGGTGATGCCGCTGTCATGTATGGTGGGCTGGAGAGTTACCATCACATGTGCCGCTTCTATTCTGGGTATGTTTGTCCTTTCCCTGGTTCTCCCGTGGCTACAGTCAAGACTATGAGACTAACCAGCGCAGTTTCTTCTACAACCACCCCCTTCTACTCAAGTACGAGTGGTACTGGCGTGTTGAGCCCGAGATCACCTACTTCTGCGACATCACCTAGTAGGTTACTTTGCGCCGAGGCTAGATGGCTAAGCTGACATTTGTGATAGTGATCCCTTCCTCAAGATGATCGAGAACAACAAGACCTATGGCTTCACCATTGCCGTCAAGGAACTCCGTGAGACCGTGCCTAATATTTTCCGATACGCTTCCGCCTACAAGCGCCTCAACAACTTGAAATCCCAGGGACTTTGGGAGATGTTTGTCGAGCCCAAGGAGGAAAAGGCGGAGGAGAAGAAGGATCCTACACTGCCTGAAGAGATCATGCAGAGCGAGCCTGGCAGCAATGCTCTTCCCCCAATCGACGGTGAAGCTATGGAGGGCGAGAAGTACAACATGTGCCACTTCTGGTCCAACTTCGAGATCGCCAAGCTCAGCTGGTTCCGCAGCAAGGAGTACAATGACTTTTTCGAGATGATGGATCGCAGTGGTGGGTTCTGGATGGAACGAGTAAGTTGAATACCCACTGAATCATCTTTTTTTCCTACTACGATTGCTAACCACCTCTCACAGTGGGGTGATGCACCTATTCACTCCCTCGCAGCTGGAGCACTCCTGGCCACTCGAGATATCCACTACTTCCGTGACATTGGATACCGACACACCACCATCCAGCACTGCCCTGCTAACGCTCCGTCACGACAACTCCCCCGAAGCCCGTTCCTAGAAATGACGACCAAGGACGAGAAGAAGCGCCAAGAGGAAGATCAGTACTGGGAAGACTGGGATGAGGAGAAGGAGAACGGTGTTGGTTGCCGCTGCCGCTGCGATACCGATATCGTTGACGTTGAGGGCAAGGAAGGTTCATGTCTCCCCGAGTGGGTTGACGTCGCGGGTGGCTGGGCCAGCCCCTAATTGACGACTATCTGTATAATGGGACGAAAAGAAACGCCAATATGTATTTGACGCAACCGCATTGTCACGGCGTTGGGACTGCACGGCTTCATGCACAGTGAAGACCTGTAAAGCGAGTTGGAGGAAATGTGGGCGTTTTTTGGTTTTGCATGGGAGGACAGATGTCTTACATCCCGCGGACGAAATACGATTCGTTGCGCACGACACTCGGCACACGGCATATACAAAGAAACAAGGGCAAAAAACAACGTGCGTCACTCACACATATACAGTAAAGATCCAGGATACCGGGTGGAACGACGACAGGATTTTCATATTGGGTTATACTTATTTTATGCCGGCTTTTGCTTCTCCTCGCGTTCGGAGACGGGGGCTTTTTCTTTTCCATTTCACAGGGGGGAGGGTACCTAGGGAGAGTAAAGTGTACGGATTGACGATCGTCGAGTGGCTCTCGTTGCTCAGAACAACTGATAGACTTGGGGCGGTTTCATGCATCTATCTTTTTGTATTTGCTACTTTACTGTGGTGTGAGTCCGGTGTTTAATGATACTTGGGATATGCGATTCTCGGACCAAGTCGATACCTGTAGTGATAGTTCCTGTACGGAGAGGCATTGGAACTCCTGAGTAACATGTCTATATTCTACTCTGGTTCTATCATATTTACTATATAATACATATCATATATTTTGACATTCTTCTTTGGGTTGAACTGCGTAATGGCCTGGGTCTTCGACAGCTAGCGGTCTGTGAAGAAAGACCTTCTGGTTCGGTCCACACAGCGATGGTCCTCTGGGATAAGGATTATTGGCGAAGGTAGCGGCAACGGTTAAGGTTAAAAATATATTCCATGAAGTGGTTACGACAATACTAAGTTGAGCAGCTGTAGGACGTTTCATGTGATCATACAAGGTAAGGTAAGATGATACCATCAGTAACCTCAACTGGAGAAAAAGCCATCCAATGCGCCACAAGCGTTAGAAATAGACCACAATTATCAATCATGTAGCACATAGCCCTTCATCATCATTATTTACTCATTATAGGAGCAACATTGGTTGATCTTGGTGGGTTGGTCAAGGTTGGTCTAGGGTACTTGGGCATGGTGGAGGTGGGGATAAGGAACCAATCAGGTCACGTGTGACAATTTTCGCAGGCGACTCCAGAAATATCATCCACCTGTAAATCAACCAAGAGCTGAAGGCGTCAACTGGGTACAGACCGCCACAGCACGATGCCTCCTCGATTAATACTCTCAAGCGCCCTCCGCTGCTGCAGGGAACCGGTGGCGGGCTCTACCAGCTCATTGGCAGCCTCGCTCGCTGCATTGACTCTTCAGTCCCAGCAACAGGTCCGACATGCCTCGATCCTGGGCAGCCTCGCCAACAACAAGGGAGCCGTCAAGGAGCGGAAGCGTGTTGGTCGCGGTCCTTCTTCAGGCCATGGAAAGACGTCTGGACGAGGTCACAAGGGTCAGAGACAGCATGGAAAGGTCAATGCGTGGTCACAGGGTGGACAGACTCCTTTGATCGTCCGGCATGGCAAGATGGGTTTCACCAACCAGTATGTTTTCCTACTGCTCCTCAATTGAAAGCCAAATTGATCAAATGTTAACTGTTCCTTAGTCGTGCCCCCGACATGTCGATAGTTAACCTGGACAAGCTCCAAGACTGGATCAACCAGGGCCGAATCGACCCAACAAAGCAGATCACCCCCAAGGAGCTCATCGAGAGCCGACTGATCGGAAGCATCAAGGATGGAGTCAAGGTCCTCGCTCGCGGCCCCAACTGCCTGAAACAACCCGTCGATATCATGGTCTCCCGCGCCTCCGCCTCCGCCATCGCCGCCATCGAGGCTGCCGGCGGCAAGATCCTCACCCGATACTACACGAAGCTCTCCATCAGAAGGCTCTTGACCGGCGAGTCGATCAATACCGCCGAGCCCCTCCCAGTTGGCAAGGAACATGTGGAGAGGGTCCTCGAGGAGGCCAAGGCGAACGGGTACAAGTACCGACTGCCTGACCCTACCGGCCGTGAGGATATCGAATACTACCGTGACCCCGCGCACCGAGGCTACCTCAGCCACCAGCTCAAGGAGGGCGAGTCGCCAAGTTTGTACTTCAAGGTGCCCGGAAAGCAGAAGATCAAGAAGGTTGTGACGGAGGAGGACCAGAAGAAGGAGAGAGAGGTGTCTATGTGGTAGGGTCGGAGCGCGGTGGTTGCCGTTGTAGTATCAGATGTATATTATTTGGGACACCCATAAAATGCAATGTCGTAAAATATGCCCATAGTTAAAAACAGCTATCAATTCGTCACGTCAAAGGCCCGATCGGGAATGCAAGCCTCTCAAAAGCGCATCTTGAACTGCCGGGATTTCAGCGCTGCCTGCTACTGAAAGTTACATCACCACGGCGGAC